TTTCCATCTTCTTAACACCTGGGGATTTCCAGGTGCTTTTCAGACCTGACAGGTCTGAAATAAGGGTTAGAAAGCTCAGTGTTTGACCAGCGAGAAAGAGTGATGGCATGGCCTAGTGTGGCTCTGCTCCATCCCCTACTCACCCCACCGGCTCTCCTAGGACACTCAACGCCATGAGCAAAGCCATGGTAACTGTGCATCTCTCCCCTCAGTGGAGATTTCTGTAGTTTCCCCAGAAGTTTCATGTGATCCCTCCTGAAAACCCCTGCTTGCTGGGGACATCTGCTGGCTGACAGGTTGGGTCCAGACTCTGAATCTGTGACATTTAAAGCGGATTAGCGTCAGCCTCAGGGCTTTTAGGATCATCCTTTGGTGAGATTACACAGCAGCAGGGCACAGCTGTTCTGCGATGAGGGAAGGGGAGGGCTCCTGGGCGCTGGGGGGGTCCAAGCTGCTCGCGCTGCAGGGAGGGAGCTGTCCTGGGCCTCTCCGAGTACTCTGCCAAACGGGTTGGACTCTACCTTGAAAATGGCCAGAGCCGTCTCCAGATACCGTACAGGCCTGGTGTCACTGGCCCCCCATCGGTACGGCAGGAGCAACCCCTGTGGGTGGCTGTGTGACCGGTGCATCTAAGAGGCGGAGCTGGTGGCAGGGTGCCCAGCGCAGGACAGGGCGCTAGTGAGCGGTCCCCGCAGGAGGGGAGGCCCGTTGACCTTGGTGTGTTCTCTGTGAGGGACCGTGGTGATGACTCATGGGCACTGCTGGGGACAGTCTGAGTCACCAGAGGTCCCAACGGCGGGAGTGTTGTTTAGTGGTGTGTGTTTGCTTAAATCCTCTGCTTCCCCTGTGAGGCGGCACAGGCGTGTGGGGGGCCTGTGTGTGCGCAGGTGTTTGTTGACCAGACTGCCTGACACCAGCTCCCGGCTCCTACAGCCCCCCTGCTAGTTGGGGGGGGGGGTGCGTTGGGTGTTTTGGGCAGTTAGTGTGGGCAAACCCCCAACCGTGGAGGTCACCAGCTCCACCCCAGGGCGTTCCGTGGGCTTTGTGGCCTGCTGGCCTGCCGTAACCCTGGGTTCCCAGTGGTCCTGGGAGCCCTGCAGCCAGCGCAGGGACCGTGGCCCAGCAGGACCTGTTAGCCTCCTGAAGGCCAAGCAGAGCCCCTTCCTGCTCTTCCCTGGTGAGCGGAGGCTTCCCTGACCTCTGTCCAGAGCAGCCCACGGCCCCTGCCACTCTGTTGATGTGGAGAGTTACCTCCTCTGCCCATTTTCTTTTGTGCGTCTGTCTTGCCCCAGGATGAGAGTCCATTGGTGCAGGGACCTTACCTGTCTCCAGGAGGTAAAAAGCCCCTGGCACCTAGTAAGCGCTAAATAAATACTTGTTAAATGAACAAAGGAATGACTTTAAGAAAGCCTACGGTGTCTGTTGGAATTTTTTGTTACCAGCCTCACTTCTTGCTGGTGACAGTGATGTGGCCCTTGAGATCAACAGCAGGGGTTTGCTCCTGCGTGAGGCAAACGTTTGTCATCCCCGTCTGTGTGCGGGGGCCTGCGGCTCCGAACAGCGTCTGAGGTGACCTCTGCACAGCTCAGCTGTCTACTTGGGGGAGATATTTGGCCACTGACTGAGTTTGAAGCCAGTGGCTTCCCTTTTTTATTGAATTAAAAACTCTTGAAAGTAAACGTCTCTAGTTTTTCTGTGATTCATTTATTCATCCACTAACACGTCTGAAGATTCAGTGACTGTGGATCTGGAGGGATGAGGGCTGGCGATTGGAGGGTGGGGTGCTTGGGTGTTTTGGATCGGGAGAAACCGTGGCCAGGGTGGGCCAGGCACCCCAGCAAACGGGTGCCCTGCCCCGTGGTGGGGCCTCCCACGCGGCAGGTGGTGGGCTCCAGGGCGTGTTCCAGCCCTGACAGAACGGGACAGTGGTTGCAGGTGTTGTGAAATGGGAACTCCCTAGCCGTAGGGAGTTAGGCTTTTCTTTCTTTTTTGTTTTTTGTAAGATCCCTTTGGCAGCCCTCAGAGTGAGTGCACAGCAGAAGGGCACTTCAGGGGCCCTCGCAGCGAGGTCAGGGATGATGGCGGCTGAGGTGTGCAGGGGTGAGAGACAGCCGGAAATCAAGGCTAACCCCACGTGTTTAGCTTGGGCAGCTGGATAGAGGGGTGCCTTTTTTTTTTTTTTTAAGATTTTATATATTTATTTGACAGACAGACAGCGAGAGAGGGAACACAGCAGGGGGAGTGGGAGAGGGAGAAGCAAGCTTCCCACCAAGCAGAGAGCCCGATGGGGGCTCGATCCCAGGACTCTGGGATCATGACCTGAGCCGAAGGCAGACGCTTAATGGCTGAGCCACCCAGGCGTCCCTTGACTTTCATTTTCTTTTCTTTTTTTTTTTTACATTTTATTTATTTATTTGACAGAGAGAGAGAGAGGGAACACAAGCAGGGGGAGTGGGAGAGGGAGAAGCAGGCTTCCCACCGAGCAGGGAGCCCGATGGGGGCTCGATCCCAGGACCCTGGGATCATGACCTGAGCCGAAGGCAGACACTTAACGACTGAGCTACCCAGGCGCCCCTAGAGGGGTGCCTTTGAAGGAGCCAGGAAAACTGGGGGGCAGAAGCGTGGGGTGCTGGGCTCAGGCGGTCTGTAACTCAAGACAGCAAGCAGGTGCCTGATGGGCGTGTTGCAGCTGAGCAGGGGTTGATGTGGGTGCAGGGCGAGGCCGAGAGGCATGTTGGCTCTGCCCGCAGCCCAGTCTGCCGTGGAGGAGCGCTGCCCTTCTCCGGACCCCTGCAGGGAGGAGCCCTGGGGCTGCCCCTGGGCAGGACTGGCCCCTGGGAGGATGCGGTGATCAGGGCGCTGGAGCTCTGCTGCCCCTAGCGATTAGGCCCCTGCTTCGCAGGCCTCCCTCCCTCTGCGCTCACACTCAGCTCTGCTCTGCCTCCAACGGGCGTGAGGGGGCTTTTCCTCCACCAAGCGTTCTCTACAGTTGAAACAGATTCCCGGTTAGCGCAGGCCCCACAGGTTAAGGGCTCAGCCCCACAAGACTGGCCCCACCCAGACGCCAGTTGCAAGTCCAGGTTGTCACGACTGTGCTCCTGACGACCCGCGATACATCGGAGGATCCACGACCCCCTCCTCGGGCTCCATTTGCTGGAGCAACTCACAGAACTGAGAAACGTTTTACTTTCCAGATCACCAGTTTATTATAAGAGGATATTAACTCAGGAACAGCCAGATGGAAGAGGCCTGGGGCGAGGGGTGGGGGACGAGGTGCAGCGCTTCCACGCTGTCTCGGGGCACCTCCAATGTGTTCACCCACCTGGAAGCTCTCTGAACCCCTTGGCTGAGGATGTGTGTGGAGGCTTCATCATGTAGGCATGATTGATCGAGCCAGCCTCACGGTGGAAGCTGGCAGGCGGAGTCGAAAGGGAAACCCTGTAATCCCAAGGTTGGCTCCCCTGGCAACCAGCTCCATCCCGTGGTTATCTGGGGCTTTCCAGAGTCACCTCGTAAACTCAGGTGTGGTTGACAGGTCTGATACGAGAAACAGAAGGTAGCCTCTCGCCTGGAATTATTTCAGAACCCGGGAAGAAGAACTAAAGCCAACGAAAGCTGCCCCTGTCGCTCCTGTCACTCGGGAAGTTGTGAGGGTTTTAGGGACGGTGTGCCAGGAGCTGGGAATGAAGGCCATGATGTCTTTTTTTTTTTTTTTTAAAGATTTTATTTATTTATTTGACAGAGAGAGACACAGCGAGAGAGGGAACACAAGCAGGGGGAGCGGGAGAGGGAGAAGCAGGCTTCCCGCAGAGCAGGGAGCCCGATGCGGGACTCGATCCCAGGACCCTGGGACCATGACCTGAGCCGAAGGCAGTCGCTTAACCAACTGAGCCACCCAGGCGCCCCCATGATGTCTTTCTTACTGCACTGCCCATGGCAGGGTCCTGCGGTCTCCCCAGCCCTCTGCAGGCCCTCCTGCTGCTTCAGCCTCTCCCTCTGGGTCTTGGCACGGGCATTCCCTCTGCGCTCCGCTGCTCCCCTCCAGCGCCAGGTCGCCCCAAGACCGGCTGGACGTGAGCCCTGAGGGTTCGGGGCTGCAGGGGGCAGCCATTAAGAAATGACAGCAGCTGTTACCCGGTGATAAAGGTGCCCTGCACAGAGATGGAGGGCTTGACAAAGCAGGCTGGTGGGCCAGACCCAGCCCGCAGTTTGCACACTCTGTGCTGCTTTGCACGGAGCTGAAGAGTCGTGACAACCCTGTGGCCCACAGAGCCCTGAGTAATTACCCACTGCCCTTTACAGCGAGAGCTGGCCAGGCCCTGTCCTGCGTGATTCATTGCTCTTCTAGGAAGACCTGCATAAGGAATTCATTCAGATCCAAGTGCCAGTGCTGAGAAAATATTGGCTTCACCTGAGACATCGCCTTACTTTTTCCTTACGAAGGTGGGGGGTGCTGCGCTCAACCCTGTTCTTGGTGCTTTGTCCTCCGGCAAGCCTCCGGTTGGATGCGTTGTCTGATACCCCACAGTTACGTGGCCTCGATTGCCCAATCCTGACGTTTATCAAGCCGTGTTTTCCTCTTCGACTGCCAGTGTTCTAAGATTATTATTTATTTATTTATTGAGCATAAGCAGGGGGAGAGGCAGAGGCAGAGGTCAGGAGCAGACTCCCCACTGAGCAGGGACCCCGACGTGGGGCTCGATCCCAGGACCCCGGGATCATGACCCGAGCCGAAGGCAGACGCCTAACGGACTAAGCCACCCAGGCGCCCCTACTGTCCGAGTTATAAGCACTGTTCTGCTGAGCCCAGGGCTGACGTGTGTCTCTCGTTCGCGGGTCAGCTCCAGCCAAGCACGTGTCTTCTGTGAAATGCTCATTATCGTTTCTGGGGTCCTGGCAATATTTTGGGATTCTCCAAATACCAGCCCAGACCATTTTGACAGTTTCTCTTTTACCTTTTTTCCCCTTTCCTTTCTTTTTTCTTTTTTTTCCACTTGTAGCGAGAATTACTACCAAACTCGACTCATTGGGCCAGAGACCCGTGTGCTGTTCGAAGAAGACTTGCCCCTCACATAACATACTACCTGCACCTGTGAGTTCGTTGTTTTGCTTTGTTTTTTCATTTTTATTTATTTATTTATTTATTTATTTGAGAGAGAGAATGAGATAGAGCATGAAAGGGAGGAGGGTCAGAGAGAGAAGCAGACTCCCCGCCGAGCAGGGAGCCCGATGCGGGACTCGATCCCGGGACTCCAGGATCATGACCTGAGCCGAAGGCAGTCGCTTAACCGACTGAGCCACCCAGGCGCCCCTGTTTTTTCATTTTATTACCAAGATGTTACAGTAACAGATTTGATTATATGGATAATTTTTTGTCGGTGGTTTTTATTATTAGTAATTTCAGGAGTGAAACAATACTTCATGTCCCTAAAAAGTAGTATCACTGATTCAGAGTGGTTGCTTACTTGAGAATTCTAGAATTAACATAAAGGATACCAAAAGCAGTAGCCCTTAGGTTCTCTTGTTCCTGTTTCTGAGTTTCTGTCTTTGCTCTATGCTGATGAGGTAGACCAGTGTAGGTGCTGTGGGGCTCACCTCAGGAATGGCTGCCTTTTACCTCTGTGACCCCACACAGAGTGTCCCCGCTGTCCATCTCCCCCAGTCCCTGAAGGCTCACCGTAAACACTGCTGAACCAGTGAGTCAAGAATTCGTGGGATGGTGGGAATTTTCCTTCTTTTTTTTTTTTTTTTTAACATTTATTTATTTATTTGGGAGAGAGAGAGAGCTCGAGCACATGTGAGCAGGGGGAGGGGCTGAGTGTGGAGCCTGACCCCAGGACCCTGAGAGCATGACCCGAGCTGAAACCAGGCGTTGGTTACTCAACTGACTGAGCCACCCAGGCACCCTGGGATTTTCTCCTCTTAAAAAAAAGACCCACTTCAGGGGTGCCTGGGTGGCTCAGTCAGTTGAATAACCAACTCTTGGTTTCAGCTCGGGTCATGATCTCAGGGTCCTGGGATTGAGCCCTGCATCGGGCAAAAAAAAAAAAAAAGACCCACTTTATATGAATCAGACATTTTAGATTCTTTGGGATGACAGTGATACTCAGATGTCACTGGCAGGCGCCCCCGGCCCTTCTGGAGAGGTGCTCTCAGAGAAGGGCTGTGTCTGCCCCTGGCGCATCTGCCCCCAGGATGACCGTGGCCCTTGGGCCCAGCCTGCCTACCTTCTGGGCTTGCTGCGTGGCCGTGGGCCTGTTTGTGTAGGTCAGGGCCCCGAGCACCACGTGGTTTTCCGTGTCAGAATCCACCCCTTTCTGCCGGGCGATGGGACGTCGACAGTCCACGTGGTCTCTGGCACGCCTAGCGGCCCTTGCTAGCCCCCCCACGCATACTCATGCGGCCCACGCTTGGCAGACCACCAGAGCAAGAGGTGTTTAGACCGTTGTTAGCAGTTTGACAAGGTGGTTCTATGGTGTTGGATCTAATAATTAAAAATTGGTCTTTGCGTTATATATCTTTGTTTTTTAATTATATTTTCCTTGAGTATTTTTATTGTTTTAGAAAATTATCAGTCTGTGATGGGTTGGAAATAAAAGAGCCAAGGAACGTGCTCCTGAGTGCTGGATCTCCAGGCGCCCCAGGCTGCTGCAGGAGCGGAGTGTGGGGCCGGAGGGGGCCTTGGCTCTCAGAGGCTGGTGGGCCCCAGCGCTTGCTCAGCTCCTTAGCGGCCCCGTTTTCTCACCTGCAAAGTGGGAGAGCCCTTCATGAGCCTGTTTTGAAGGACCTAGCTCTTGTTGGTGAGCAAACGGTGTTTCCTACCTTTCCTTCCTCTGCTGCAGGGTGAGGATCGGCTAGCAGAGCCCTCAAGGTCTGGGCCCTGGCGGGGGCCACCTGTGGCTCTTCCGAATGTGTGACCACACAGCTGCTAACTGGCCCAGAGCGTGCTCCCACTGGGTGACAGCGATGCCGTAGACGGGGATCTGGCGCGGGTATCGAGAAGGACAGCTAGAGCCCCTAACCCTGGGCCCGCTGCCCACCTGCTCCCCACTGCAGCTGTGCCCATGCTGCCGCCGCCCTCAGAGCAGGCCCTGAGCCAGCTGTGGGCTCACAAGGAGGGCGAGAGCAGAGCCCTGCAGGCCCAGCGCTGCCAGCCGCGGGACGCCGCGCTGCAGGACGCGCACAGCCAGCTGCACCAGGCGCAGGGGGCGCTGCGGCGCCTGCAGGAGGACTTCGTCTACAACCTGCAGGTGCTGGAGGAGCGGGACCGCGAGCTGGAGCGCTACGACGCGGCCTTCGCCCAGGCCCGAGGGCTGGAGGAGGCGCGGCAGGCGGAGGTGAGCGAGCTCAGGGTGGAGGCGGCCCGGCTGAGGCAGGCGCTCGCCCGCGAGGCCCGGCGGCGGGAGGACCTGCAGCGGCAGCACCAGCTGAAGCTGCAGGAGCACCGGCTGGAGCTGGAGCGCATCCACAGGTGAGCGCCCCTCGGGCCGCGCGGTGAGGGCACCGGGAGACTGGTTTCAATGTTCCGAGCTTTCTCCATGAATTGCAAATCTGTATCATTTCAATAAAAGATATTCGAGCCCATGATTGTTTTAATGATGCAAAACAGGTATTGATTCCCAAGCGCAGTGAGCTCACTTGAGGCAGGTTGACTAAGAACCCGAAGCTCGGGTCAGAGGGTCCTGTTGGCGGGTCCCCGGAAAGCCGCTCTCGTGTCCCACGCACTCTCCTCCTCAGTGAGAAGAGAAGACAAAAATCTGCCGTCCTTCCCCTGATTTCAGGGTGTGTGTTTGTTTGGTTTTTTTAAAGATTTTATTTATTTATTTGACAGAGAGAGACAGCGAGAGAGGGAACACAAGCAGGGGGAGTGGGAGAGGGAGAAGCAGGCTTCCCCTGGAGCAGGGAGCCCAAAGGGGGGCTCGATCCCAGGACCCTGGGACCATGACCCGAGCTGAAGGCAGACGCCCAACAGCTGGGCCCCCCAGGCGCCCAGGGTGTGTGTCTGTGATGTCACGTTGACGGTCGGGTGTATCTCTCTGGCGTGTGCGGGCACAGACATCAGAGTGGCTGGCAGCACCCTGCGGGTTCTGTTTTCACTTAAAACAGGATCCTGAATAGTGTTTCATGTTGTCACACATGCCCTTCAAAGTACTTGTAGAAAATCACAACAGTGACGATGTTCTTGTTCTAGACAATCGTTTCTTCCTGAAGGTGGTGAGGTGGAAAGGAAGAGCTGCCCGAGGACTCTGTTGTGTTCTCCCTGGGAGAGCTCCCCTCACGCCCACATAGACACGTCCCGTACACGCGGCCTACAACCTGCTTGTGGCGGTTTTCCGTCTACCTGGGCGGTTTTCTTCGTGTCGCGCACTGGGTTCTGCCACATCCTTTTAAATGGCCACCCAGCCCCGTTTTCGTTTGCTGGGCCTGTTGGCCCTGTACTTTTCAGCAGCAGGAGACTCCGTGGCGGGCTGGGCGTGAGCAGAGACCTCCCTCAGTGGGCGCGGGACCACCTTGGCTTATGGGCCTCCGAGCCGCCGGCTAGCATCTCCCGTAACAACCACAGGCATAGCTCCCAGGGTCCCGAGCGTCGCTGTCCTCAGGGAGGCCCGGGAGCCCAGGTGTTCATGGCCTCTCTGCAGGGGCTCCCAGTCCCGACGCTGTGTGCCAGGGAGCCTGTCATTCCTGCAAGCAGTACGGCTGGTGGTGTTCACAGCCCGTGCTGCCTCCCCAGGGGCCGGGGAAGACAGGTACAGATGCTGACCAAGGTCAGCATCGCCTGGAGCAGGGACGGGGATCTGTGACCTTCCCCTGCAGGGTGGGTGTTGGCATTGTGACTGTTCCCCAACTCCATTGTTAAAAGTCACACTGTGATGCACCTGGAGGATCAGAAGCAGGTGCTCTTAACACTGGGACACGTGGGCCAGCTTGCCTCTGTGGAAATACTGATTTTCTTTCTCACAGCTGTATTTGAGACAGTTTAAAGCATCCTTAAAGTGTTCTTCTTTTTTTTTTTTAAGATTTTATTTATTTGACAGAGAGAGACACAGCGAGAGAGGGAACACAAGCAGGGGGAGTGGGAGAGGGAGAAGCAGGCTTCCCGCAGAGCAGGGAGCCCGATATGGGGCTTGATCCCAGGACCCTGGGATCACGACCTGAGCCGAAGGCAGATGCTTAACGACTGAGCCACCCAGGCGCCCCAAAGCATCCTTAAAGTGTTCTATACCATTCTTGTAAAGTGTCTCCTCACGTCATTTGTCCCCCCCCCCCCCTTTTTTTCCCCTTAATTTGAGACCTTTTCAGCCATTATTTCTTCAAGTACATGTCAGCCCTCCTCTTTGTCCTCCCGTGCTCGGGCTCAGGGTGACTGTCCCACACCTCCCTGAGGCTGTGCTCATGTTTTTCAGTGTGTTTCTCTCTGTTATTTGCTGGGGTAGTTTCTGTTGTTCTGGTTTCAAGTTCGTGGATTCTTTGCTCCGTCATGTTGTCATGTTCATTCTGCTGTTGACCCCACCCCAGTGAGCCTTCTGTTTGGTTGTCATACTTCCTGGTTCTCAATTTGTTTGATTCTTTGTAAGCTTTTCTTTGCTGAGAGTTTCTAATTTTTTACGTAAGAGTGCACTACATTGCTTGCTGAAGCATTTTAAATAATGGCTGCTTTAAAAACCCTTGTTAAGGGGGCACCTGGGTGGCTCAGTTGTTAAGCATCTGCCTTCAGCTCGGGTCATGATCCCAGGGTACTGGGATCGAGCCCCGCATCGGGCTCCCTGCTCGGCGGGAAGCCTGCTTCTCCCTCTCCCACTTCCCCTGCTAGTGTTCCCTCTCTCGCTGTGTCTCTCTCTGTCAAATAAAAAAAAAAAAAAAAAAAACCCTTGTTAAAAAAATCTCAACATTTGTGTCATTTTGGGGTTAGCGTGTGCTCTCTTTTCCCGTTCAGGTGGGGACCTTCCTGTGCTCGGTGTGACTTGGGCTTGTGTCCTGGGCACTTTGGGAATTACCTTGTGAGACTCTGGACCCCATTTCAGGCTCCCTCTGCAGGCAGGCGCCTGTGTGGTGTAGGGTCCCACTGAAGCCCCCGAGAGCAAGCCCTGACCTGTCTTACTACTGCCATGTTTACATAGTGACAAGAACAGCGAGATGGACCAGCAGCGGGAGCAGTACGAAAACCTGAAATGGAAGCTGGAGAGAAGGCTCGAGGAGCTCGATGGCGAACTTGCCCTGCAGAGGAAGGTAGGGCCTCCAGCGCGCAGCCCCCCTCAGGTGCCCGCCCTGCCTGCCCACTGTGAAAGCAAGTTGTGGAGGAGAAGACAGCCTCTTTGTTAGCTGTGTGGTATCCATGGGGTCAAGGTCGAGTTACTGGAGCAGATTTCCATCGGGGGCGGCCTGGAGGGATATGGTGGACATCCAGACCTCGGTCTCTAGGAACTCCCTCCGTGCTCTCTCTCCTCACAAAGGGATACATGTTTTCTCCCTTATTTATTCCAGAAAAAAAGGATTGAAAATCAAAATCTGAGTTACTTACTGTAGCAGAGAGCTGGGAACTCAAATTGTGGTAACTGTATTTCTTTCAAGACAACCGTAGGTAATCCTAAGTGTCAACACAGATGTGTCAGCTGACAGGTGCCACTTGGCCTCGCCCTGTCACCAGAGTTTCCCTCCGTGACGCTGAGCCTCAGCCTGCGCTTCTGTGAGTGCAGATGCTGGGGTCGCCGGGTCCCCTTGTCGCCTTCGAGCCCGGGCTGAGCTCATGACATCACAGCAACAGCGGTGTTTATGGAAACTGCCTCATGAAGCTCTCTGTGCTCCTCACGACAGAGACACGGTTTTGATCTGAGCTTTACAGGTGGGGGGCTGAGCCCAGAGGCATTAAGTAACCTGCCCAAGAGCCCCTTAGTAAATGGCAGAGGTGGGACTGGATTCCAGTGTGTAAACTCCTAGCCGCTGTTACCCTGGCCTGGGATTGCCGTTGTCGGGAAGCAAGAACTCCCATCCCCTCAAAGGTCCTTCTGGCTGGACTGAGAATCAAATCAACGTGAGACAGATGAACAGGAGAACATCAAATTTAATAGGTGTATGTTCGGGGAGTCCACACAGACATGGAAATCCCAGAGTCAGGCAGAATGAGGTCTATATGTCGTTCTGAACTAAGGAGAAGGGGCTGGGGGTCTGGGACTTCAGAGGGAAGGAATGCACCTCACGGGGCAGTGAGAAGAGCCGGTGTTCGGTAAGATGTTTGTCCTGCCAGGGGCGCCCAGCCGGCTCCGTCGGTAGAGCGTGTGACTCTTGATCTCGGGGTCATGAGTTCGAGCCCCACGCTGGACATAGACGTTATTTTAAAAAACGTGTGTGTGTGTGTGTGTATAAGGTGTTTGAAAAAAAAGATGTTTGCCCTACCACACAGATCGGTCTCTCAGATAAAATTTATCTCTGCTAATGACCCTTGGTCTGGGAAAGACGCGCTATTTAGACCGTTCGGTGTGGTAAGACAGGGACAAAAGTTTCTCTTGAGGCTGCAGGGTCTCAAGTGCCTTCAGCTCAAAACAGTCCTTGTGCCAAGATGGCACATTCTGGGGGGCCTGCCCTGAACCCCTTCCCTACTCTTCACATCTTAGTTGTAGACTCCTGTTCGTGATTTGGGACAAAGAGCTGGATCCAAGTCAGCCTGTATTGTGTCCCGTTTCTGCCTGTTCTCGTAGCCACTGAACCCTGGGCTTGTTCCCAGTTTCTTGGTGACCGTACCGCGGGGTAGATGTGGGTGGTGTGACTGGCCACGACGGCTCTGATCCAGGTGCTGGGGCAGCAGTTACGGACAGACCTGTCCTGCTGGTGGGCGGGGGCCTGACTGCCCGGCCTGCTGTCCTGAGGTGCTGTGTCAGCCCCTGAGACAGGACAGTGTCTCCCGAGAGGCATTGTGCCAGTCCGGGTGGAAAGGCACCAGGGGACGACTGTCCTCTGACCACAGAGGAGGAGGCCGAGGCCCCGCTGACAGCCCTTTCCTTCCCCTCTGGAAGCTCCACATTCATTCTCTGCGATGCTGCCGTCAGAGCACCCTTAGAGCTCTTGAAATCTGCAGAGGACTCCTGGAGCTTTCCAGGACCAGTGAACTTTGTCCGTCACGGGCAGGTTGGCCTTTTGGAAACAGCTCAGGTTGGTAGGGCACTAAGCCAGGGCCTGAGCAGCAGGGTGAGGGCAAGACCTGTTGTGACTTACTGGGCAGTGATGAGGTTTCCTCCGGTAGCACCAGGGACGCTCCTGCAGGAGCATCAGAGGGCCCTGGGCAGGCAGGGTCTCGGTGACACTCGGAGGCAGCAGTGACCCCTGGGGAACTGTGGTGGCCGGGCCAGGCCTCTGCAGGGCTTCCCAGGCTGTCCACACTCAGCCTCTGCTGTGACTCGGGCTGGTTCCGGCTTCGAGCTTCTGCGTCTTCGGGGGCCCCTCACAGCCATGGGGGACGTTGGTCTTTGTAGGAGCCCTACCTCTGGAAAGAAGGAAACTTGATGTTTAAACTCCGCAGCTTTGCTGGTCTACCCAAGGGGGCTGCTGGAAACGTGGGTGGCACCTGGCCAGTGTGGTTCTGGAACAGTGTGAGCCGTGCCGGTTCTCAGGGTGCAGCGTGCCTGTGCTTGAACCCTACTCTGCTGCCCACATCTTATTCTTTCAGTGACTGAACTAGGCTCCTATGTGCTCACCGGCTTCGTGGTCTCCTTGGGGCTGGTTTCCTGTCTCTTGTTTCTGAAGATCTTGTGTCCGTTGTTGACTTGTCAGAAGTAGAATTGATTCAATGGTGATAGTGATTTTTCTCTTGAAAAGTGAAATATAAGGTAATGGGAACAGAGTTGGTCTGTTTGAGTCTTACTGTACCTGCAAGTTGTAGGCTGTGGGGTTAAGGGAAGCTTTTTTCTGTGTTGGTTAGCAGGACAGGATTAGAAGCCACTGACGTAGAAATGGAATGATTAATTGATTTCTTCTTTCATTTAACACGTATTTTTTGAATGTGGACCATGTGCTGGGCGTCCTCCCAGGCCCTGGAGTTAGGGTGTGAGCACCTGGACCTGGGAGCTGCTCTGGGAGCGAGCTGGGCCTCCGTGGGTCACGATGGACACTGAACAGCACGGTCTCTAGTGGAGCCCCCCAAGGGTGTCCCCTGCACGACACCATAAGGCAGGGTGGTCGGGAAGGGGAGTCGTGAGCAGAAGCCTACAGGTGGTCAGGGGCGTGGAGGGAACGGTGGCATGCTTAGAGCTCCCGGGGCAGGCGTTCAGGGTCCAGGGGGGCTGAGGGGCAGGCAGCCACGTGGGGCTCACAGGCAGCAGCCCTGGGTACAGCACTGTGCTATCAGGCTGTGTGGGAGCTGGCTCCTGGCCCGCTGGAGGTCAGCGTCCAGGGCTGGGAGTCTGGGGCATCGCCAAAGGGCAGGTGTAGACAGAGGGGCCTGATCGGAGCCTTCAGCGGGAGGATGGGAGGTGAGGGCCCGTGAGGGGCCCAGCAGGAGAGTGGGTGCCCTGCAGCCAGAGAGGAGGGTGGTGGCAGTGGACGTGAGCTGTGAATCGGGACGAAGCGCTCCTTGTTCCTAGGCTGGACTTTTCACTCAGGTCAGTGCTCCCCTGCTGGCCCTGCTCCGTCTGCGTGACGGCCCAGCCCCCACAGCCTGCAGAACTTTGAGCAGAAACCAAATGCTTCGTAGTTTTGTCATATGTTAGGAGAAAAAATCTCAATGATTCTCATGTTCCAGGGGCGCCTGGGCGGCTCAGTTGGTGGGGCGTCGGCTCAGGTCATGATCCCGGGGTCCTGGGATCGAGCCCCGCATCAGGCTCCCTGCTCAGCAGGAAGCCTGCTTCTCCCTCTCCCACTCCCCCTGCTTGTGCACATGCTCGCTCTCTCAAATAAATAAATAAAATAAAATTTAAAAAAAGATTCTCATATTCCGGTCCCAGTAAGGGGTATTCATGTGACTCCTTATACTTCGTTTTGCTTTTCAAAGGATAGAAAAAAGTAAGGCATATGCTTTCAGTTGTGCTTCTGTGAGTGTCTCTGAGGCTCCCACTAGACCTTCAGAGATTTGTCACCTGGCAGGTGTGTGGCTCCCGCCTCCCTCCCGAGAGGGCAGATCAGGGACGTGGCAGATGTGGCCGCATCCTCGCCGGCAGTCGGGCTGGGCTCAGCCTCCCCTCAGACTGTCGAGCCCCGTTACTTCATCAGCCGCTTGCGGTCTCGCGTGCTGTGCCGTGTTGTCCACGCGCTATGCTGAGGGCCTGCCCTCGCCAGCTTCTTTGTGGGGACAGGCTTCACCTGCCCCACGTCACCTCCGCTCTGCTCTAGGCACCAGGGCTGGGTCGGGTCACTGAGATTTTAGGGCGGGGGAGACAAAGTCAGGATTCTGCATCTCGGTCGCACTCTGCACACCCCTTCCCCCTGCGTAATTTCTGCGTGTGGGTTTTTCACGTGTGAGCCGCGTCTGAGGAACAAGCACGTCCACACCTCAGCCCACATGGCAGATCAACCATGGAGGTCTGTCTCTTCTTTGAGACCACAGGAGACAGGACATGAAGGGACTGACAGCGGTGAAGGGGACGGAAGGGCCTCAGCTGGAAAAGCAGCAGCTCGCGGGCAGGCGGCTGGCCTGGCGTCAGTTGGGGGGCTGTGTAAGGGGCAGTGACCCCAGCGTGTGCACCCGGGGTACCAGGCAGGCAGGAGCTCCTTCCCAGGCAGAAGCTCAGCATGGTTCTGTTTAACAAATTGAATTACCCCTGCGAGCAGAAGCAAGGCAGTGGGTGAGTCCCAGTGCGCCCCTTGCAGTCCGTGGGTGCCACCCCCGCCCCAGCAGTCTGCTTGCGCCTTGACGGGCGACGTTGTGCTGTGCTCGGTGCTGCTCCCTCTGTTGCTGGCGGGTAGCGCACCGGGCGCTCACGCCGCTCGGCTCGCCGCTCGCCCACAGATACGTGTGTCAGACATTTGGGTCGTTTCCAGTTCAATGCCATTTCGAACAAAGTTGCCGTGAACGTTTTTGGCAGGCCTCTATTCGTTTGGGTAAATAACTTGGGAGCATAGTTTCTGGGTTGTGCGCTGGGGCACGTTTAATTTGGTAAGAAACCGTCAAACTGCGTTCCCAGACGCTGCTCCACATCCTTGTCAGCACTGAGTGTCGTCGGTCTTTCCCATTTCAGCTGTTTATAGGGTGGGTCGTGGTGTCTGTCTCGTTGTGGTTTTAATTAGCTTGTTCCTGATGGTCAGCATGTAAGCATTTTTTCATGTGTTCATTGGCCGTTAAGATACGTTTTTTGTGAAGTGTCGGTTCACTTTTTTTGCTCTTCTTCCAAGGTGGATTATTTGTCTTCATGTTATTGATATGTAGAGTTCCTTATGTACCCCAGAAACAAGTCCTCAGGTACGTGTGTTACAATGATCTTCTTCCGTCCTGGGCCCCACCTTTTCCTTTCCTCAACAGTATCCTATGACTAGCAGGTGATTTAATTTTGGTGACGTTCCAGTGAGCTTTTTATTGCCGCATTCCTGAATAGGAGCATCCAACTAAGGCAGGATTATGAGACATTTGAGAATTGCCAGCAGCATGGGAAAGAAGCCAAGAGTAACAGGGAGAATGGCCCTGATAGAACGATGATTCCTGCCTGGGTCAGTGATCCTGCAGCCCATCACTGTGTGCCCTCTTCCGGGGTGAGGCAGCAGATGTGCCCGCACAGGCCTCTGGTTGTCTGTGCCGGTCTGGCCGTCCGCAGGTGAGCTGGTGATCCTGTGACCCCCCTGCCGTCTCCACAGGTGAGAACTTGAGCCTGTCTGGAGCAGGGTGGGGACAGGGCCAGCCTCGCCTCATGTCAGGTCTTAGTTTTCAGGCTCTTGGGGTGCATTGTGGGGCCTTCCTGTGATTAGTGCTACCAGAGATGTGTTTTGCATCCATAACCCAAGAACAGGATGCTAGGAGGAAGGGCCATTCACAAAACAAAGAATTTTGACAATTAAAAGTATATTTAAAGAAATAAATTCAGAATGTAAATAAAGAAAATCTGGGAAAAAACTTAAGAGACGTGGAGGATAAATTGGAATGTTCAATCCAGCAATCACATTCCAGAAACATGCAGTGGGAAACAGGAAGGGGCAGACTATTGAGGAAATGGACCAGTTGCTTCTCGGGGCAGGGGCTTCAGAACAAAAGAATGGCGGAGGCCTGAGCAATAGCGCGAGATGTTTCAGAGAAGGGGAGAATGGGTACGGAGCCTGCCCCGCTGCTCAGCTGGAGCTCAGCACGACAGACCGGCTGTGAGGTGTGAGCGCAGGGCCCTCGGGTCTGCACACAGGTGGAGGGGGGATGCCTGCAGATGCCGGGCTCAGCAGGAGTCTCCTGGAAGTTACTGGATTATGCTCTGCAGCCTGGCCAGTGGCCAAGGGCTCAGCCCTCAGCTGCCCCCATTCCCTTCTGAGTTCAGAACAGTGGGAACCAAGAGATGGGGGCCTGAGCTGAGCAGACTCCCTGGCGTCCCCAGGATTGGGTAGCCCCAGCTACAGGGCCCAGCTGGCGGCCCCATACGCCCCGAGTGCTCCGCAGGAGCTGGTGGGCCTGGGCCAGGCCAGAGCTGGGCTTCCAATCCCCCGGTGAGGCCGCATGGGGCACGGGGCACGGCAGAGGTGCTTCCCAGGAGGAGGAAGCCACAGACAGGAGGAGGCGCAGGAGTGCCGGGGAACGACAGGGAAGTGTGAAGAGCAGCCGGAGAGATAGCTGTGCCACAGTCCAGGGAGAAGCCAGGCCAGATGTGGAGGCCGCGGCCTCCGGAGGGGCCACACCCCAGGAGAGAGGGTCACGCTGCGCAAGGGGACACCACGAAGGAACGGGAGGGGGTGGGACGACCGAGGAGAGAGAGGTTGGGGGAGGTCGGAGGGGAACCCAAGCTCCAGGAGAACAGCGGGCTGTCAGTTGTGAGCGGCGGTCACCTTCGCTGGTGGTTGCGCGGCTGTTGTCGTAATAACGTGTCGGGTTTTTAGGTTCAGCCTGGGGGTGAAGCTCAGAAGACTGTCTGCTTGCAGAGCCGGGGTCAGCGTACTGGCAGGTGTGGGATGGGGTCCGGGCGAGGAGCCGGCGGGGAGCAGTGTGCAGACCCAGCCGGAAGCAGCCAGAAAGCTGTTGGCAGTGCTGCCCCCTCGCAGGGGCGGGGTGAGCAGGCCCGGGGGCCTCTGTCCCGAGTCCCCAGCAGCTCCTTGTCTGTGTGCCCAGTGGACAGGCCCGGCAGCTCTGTGGCGTCTGGCAAGAACCGGTGGCCCCCTGGGCAATCCGTGGGGGCCCTCTGACGCCTGGTGGGGCACCTCCACCACCGGGGGCCTCTGTGTCCCGCGGCTTCAGGCCTGCTCGCCCGCTCACCTGGTGCTTCTTGTGGCTCTGCTGGGGCACGGCAGCCTCCTCTCACCGCCGGCCCTTTCTGTTTCAGGAGCTGCTGCTGGAATTTGAGTCTGAAATGCAGAAGAGGGAGCACGGGTTCCGCCTGCAGGCGGACAGCATGAGCAACGTGGTCTTGACTCATGAGCTCAAGGTGGGGGATGGCCTTCGGGCGGTGACTGTTCCCTCCTCAGAGGTCAGGTGCCGCTCCTGAGCCGTGAGGCCACCTCTGGGCGGGACGGCGGGGTCCACACAGAGGCCTCCCTCGCTGTACAGGGGCCAGGGGTGACATGCCTGGGGAGCGCCCGCCACGGTGCCTGCCACGTGGCCCGTCTCACTAGGGACAGAGGAGGGGTGCCCCCCCAGGATAAATGGCCACCCGACCCTGGTCGAGACAGCCTGTCACTGGCCTGTGTCCTCTGTGAGCACTGGGAATGGGCCTCCAGGGAGGTGCTGCTCGTCCCGCATTTACAGCAGAGGCCAGGCAGGTGGTCAGGGCCCACGTGCACCTTGTGCACCCGGCTGCGGTGAGCGTGGGTTCCCTGGTGCACTAGTCCACCAGCTGCCAGGGCACACACGAGCAGCGTGCACAGCTGACCTTTAGCATGGAGACGGGCCAGCCTTGAGGAGGCGGGAGGGCGTGCAGGGGAGGAGGAAGCAGGAGAGGGCACCCGGTCTGGCCTTGCCACCTGATAGGTTACACCTGTGTGGGCATGCAGCTGGTGTCAGTAAGAGCAACCCCACCCTAGCGGTCAGGGTGGGCCCCTCCCGCAGGCCTCCAGCCTTCCCACAGTGCCACAGTCCAAGGGCAGCACCCGGCCAGCCAGGGCCCCCAGGAACCCTGGCAGTTCTCTGTGGCCGGCGTGCAGACCAGGCAACTCCCAGCCCAGCCGCACCTCCTGGCAGGGACACCGGTTCTCCGCACCCTCTCAGGCCCTGTCTGGCCCCCTGACCGCACTCCGGTAGGAGCCCTGCCCCCCGCCAGCCAGGCCCAGGCTGCCCTGCAGTGACTTCGGGAGGCCTCGGGGACTTCTGAGAGCCGGCGGGGAGAGGGCTCGCTGGACGTGCCCTGAGCTCCACAGTGGGGTGGGCCCTGCCCCACCTCCGTCTGCCGTGCCTGGCCGTTACAAACCCGGGAACACCTCTCCCGGAGGGCGGCAGCATGCACGCGCGGCCTGAGGCGGGTGCTGCAGCCATCATCGTGGCCCGCAGTCGCAGTCACGGACCGAGGCCCAGAAAGGTTGTTCTAAAATGGAGCCATGCTCTTGCATGCTCCACCTGCTTGTGTGAGTCCAGTATCAGCAATCTTCACATAGGAACCGGACGGTCTTTTGGGCTCGCCACGCGTGGGCCCCATTGTGGGGTGCGGCGTGCCCTCAGAGGTCGTGGGGCCCCGGCATGTTCACTGGGGGGTGCGTGAGGACACCCTCACTGATGCGCTGCTTCTTGAGTTGTTTTCTGTCTGCTCGGTTCCAGTTCAGCCTCATTTTGAATTCTTTGTCTCTTGAAGGTAAAACTGCTGAACAAGGAGCTCGTGGCTCTGAAGGACGCGGCCGCACAGGCCGCGGAGTCGCTGCAGAGCGCCGAGGCCGCCAACGCGGGGCTGGAGGAAAAGCTGCGGCACGGTGGCCGGGAGCTCAGGGACCTGGCCGCCGCCAAGGACGCCCGGTGCGCAGCCGCGCCGGCCTCCTCTGGGCTGGGGGCTTCCGCCTGTCCTGGCTTGCTGGGGGCCGGCCTGGCTGTGGGTCCTCGTCTGCTCTCCCCGCTAATACTTCCTCCCTTTCAGGATAAAGGACTTAGAGGGCAAACTAAACTGTGTGCAGCTCTCCAGGAAGAAGGAAGAGGAGGTGTTCAGGAGGAAGTGAGTGTTCCTGGCTCCCAGCCTGGCCGCGTGGGGTTAGGTCCGGGCAGGGGCTCCCACCAACCCAAGGGCCATCCGGCCTTTGAATTCACTGCCTTGGGTCGGCTTCCATGCTCTGTCCAGGATTTTCTCAGTGGTAGTTAGGCTTTTTAGTGTTTTAAAACTTTTTTTTTTAGGTTTTATTTTTAAGTAATCTCTACACCCAACGTAGGGCTTAAAGTGAGAACCCCAAGATCAAGAGTCACGTGTTCCACTGACTGAGCCAGCCAGGTGCCCTGATGTTTTAAAACCTCTAAACTTAAGAGTTTTATGAACTAGGGAGCACCTGGGTGGCTCAGTTGGTTAAGCATCTGATTCTTGATTTTGGCTCAGGTCAAGATCTTGGGGTCGTGAGATCGAGCCCCATGTCGGGCTGGCGCTGGGCATGGAGCCTGCGTGGGACGCCCTCTGCCCCTCCCCCAGCTTGAGCACATGCACGAGCTCTCTGTCTCAGAAAAGAAGTTTTATTAACCAGTTCATTAATTTTAGACTGCAGCAACAAATGTTACTTTGGTGATATGGTCACCTTTCATTTCTACGTTATTTTGGCAAAATAATCCTGCTCTCCTGGTTATACATTCTCTAGATTCTCAAGAGCCCCCTTCTTCCTGCCGAAAAGCTCACCTCATCCCTCACTGTGGGCTGCGTGCCCCACACTGCCAGGTGTCAGGATGCCCAGCCCATAGGTGGCGCGGGGACTCTGAGAAAGCCCATGGTGGCCCGCCCAGGCTGAGACCTGTGAGGCCCACAGGATGAGGAGGGCTCAGAGAGGCACAAGGCAAGCTTCTGGGGGAGGGCAGGTGTGGGGGAGCACGTGCCCTTGGGAGCAGCCCAGGCCTGGGGTGACGTGGGCCCCGGAGAGCATGAGGCGGGCACCGTCCACCGTTCCACCTGTCACCCTCTTCCTTTTCTGGAAAGCACCAGGGTGGCTATGGGTGAAGCACGCGTGTGGTGGTTGTGAGGATGCTCTGTCACGGGAGTGGGCGAGGCTGGTGGAGCATGGGCCATCTGGGGCATTTCTGTGTTTTCTGGCCATGATGTTTGTGCACTCTGAGGAGAAAAGCTTTACAGCCTGTCCGTCTACTGCCTTTGCACCTGCAGTCAGACGGAACTGGGAGCTGCCTTCCAGGCCACCGCACAGGGGTACACTATCGGCCCATGTACCCCTCGGCTAGGCTGGCACACGGGACGAGGGCGGGCGTTGTGTGCGTGCTTCTGGGGGCATGTGGGGCCACGACACAGCAGGATGTGGTCCGGCTTGGACCCACGCAGGCCCGTGGTGCTGGGATGCGCTGTGGCGGCCAGCCTTTGGGAAAAAACAGTGTTCCCCTTCATGTCCAGAGCTAGAGCCTTTTTTTTTTTAAAGTTTATTTATTTAAGTAATGTTTAATCCCGCGTGGGGCTTGAACTCACGACCCCAAGCAAGAGCCGCACACTCACTGACAGCGCAGGCCAGGTACCCCCAAAGTGTTTTTATTCATAAACTGAAATAGTTGAAAATGAATATAATTTTTAGCATATTATAAATATTGGCTTTAAGAAGTAAAACTGTTCAGGGGTGTCTGGCTGGCTCAGGTGGTGGAGCACATGACTCTGGGTCTCGGGGTTGTGAGTTTAAGCCCCATGTTGGGTGCAGAAATTACTTTAAAATCTCTAAGAAAAAAAGAGAGTAAAACTGGTCACTTTTTTTTTTAAGATTTATTTATTTTAGACAGTGAACGTGCACATGTGAGGAGGAGGCGCAGAGGGAGAGAGAGAAAGTTTCAAGCAGGCCCCCCGCTGAGCAGGGAGCCCAATGTGGGGCTCGATCCCAGGACCCTGGGATCATGACCTGAGCCAAAGGCAGACGCTCAACCAGCTGAGCCACCCAGGTGTCCCTATAGTGTATTTTTTATGATTCACAAATTTGAAATCAGTCTTCTCTAACATAATGCATATATTTATATAAACTAAAAACAATGAAATTTGCTGGGGCCACAAGGCTCTAAGTGTTCTAAAAGGTTTCTACGTGAAGGTATTCTGGTAATTATTTGCACATACTTTACAAAACAATATAATATACTATAAAATTCAATAATTAAGTAAACTGTAAGTCTCCTTAGGAATGCCCCCCGACTGAGGGGAAGGGGTCCCCGCATCAGTCTGTGAGCACCTTTGTGGGGCTGGCCACCTCGTCACACGCACAGCCCGCAGACAGCCGGGTGGGCTTTCTGGCAGCATCCCCCAGGCTTTGAACGCCTTCCAGTTACGAGCCAGGAGCCACCTGCTGGCCTCGCCCCTGCATGACCGTCTGTCGTGTGTCTGCTGGTCACTCCATAGGAGCAAAGAGCTGGTAGTGCCTGGCTCAGTCGGCAGGATCATTCACGTTCTCTGTTTCCAGAAGTTTGGATAAGAGGCTTTCCTAAGACTTATTCCGGGACCGTTACATACACCTGGTGCCCTTCTACTTAGCGGCAGCTTGGGAAACCCTCGTCCTGAGAGGCTGGGAAACTGGAAGGTTGTGACTTGGAGTACACGTTCACCAGCATGACGTGTATACAGTAAGATGCTCTTTATTTTGCTGCAAGCTTTACCATTTCTCCCTAAAACCTCAAGCTTGCAGATTTCGTTTCCAGTTAGGGAAAGCGTTCAGCAGACCACCTAAGCAGCAGAACCCACCTTGCTGTGAAACCATTAGCTGGTCGGGTTGCTCTGCAAGAACATCTTACTTTGTTTTTCAGTCCCAGTGAATCTGTATGTGTCTGGAGGAGTAACCTCAAAACCCTGAGAATTACAGAGCACACCTGTGAAGTGTCCTAGAGCGCTCTGGTACAGGTTAGGGCAGTTGAGGGCTCCCGCGCGTGGCGCTACGCAGATGCTGCCCCTCGGACGGCGCCGTGGGACTCTGGCGTCACAGGCAGCACAGAAGGCGGGCTTCCCACCCCGGAGTCCGCTGTTGGCCTTTGAGAGTCACTGACCAAAAGTCATGCGGCGCAGTTCGGGAGTGACTCGACTCCTTCACCAGCCGTCTCGACCAGACCTTTCCTGGTTTGATGAGACAGAGGCTGTGCTGCTGGATGCCGGTGGGTGCAGACGCTCGCACGTGTTCCTCTTTTGCTAAGAGAAGGTCGAAAATATTGAACAGGTTGCAAGATGGATGAGGCTTCATTGTAACTGGAATGAAAAGTACGTTAACGTGACGTGAAAAATGCAGCTGGAGGGGCGTCTGGTGGCTCAGTCAGTGAAGCGTCTGCCTTTGGCTCAGCTCGTCGTCCCAGGGTCCTGGGGCCGAGCCCCGCGTCGGGCTGCCTGCTCTGCAGGGGGTCTGCTTCTCCCTCTGCCGCTCCCCCTGTTTATGCTCGCTCTCTCTGTCAAATAAATAAAATCTTTTTTTTTTTAAAAAGAAACGATGTAGGGGGCACCTGGGTGGCTCAGGCGGGTAAGCATCTGACTCTTGATTTTAGCTCAGGTCATAATCTCAGAGTCGTGAGTTCAAGCCCCGAGTTGGGCTCTGTGCTGGGCATGCAGCCTGCTTGAGATTCTCTCTCTTCCCCACCCGCCTCTCTCTCTCTCTCTCTCAAAAACGAAATAATAAAAAAATAGCATGTAAAATTACATTTTTTAGGGCTTCGAAGTTTTTTTCTTTTTAAAGATTTTATTTGACAGAGAGAGACACAGCGAGAGAGGGAACACAAGCAGGGAGAATGGGAGAGGGAGAAGCAGGCTTCCCACAGAGCAGGGAGCCCGATGCGGGGCTCGATCCCAGGACCCTGGGATCATGACCTGAGCCGAAGGCAGACGCTCAACGACTGAGCCACCCAGGTGCCCCCCAGGGCTTTTAGCTTTTTATTGAAACCAAATAGAATAAAAGCATAAAAAGTCCTGAGCGTTGCCAGTCAGATGTCCGCATGACGCCCACCAGCCCACGCTGTCCTGTCCAGATGGACGTCTGTCCTGGTGAGGGGATTCTGATAGGTCTGGCATTTCTGGCAAAGACAGAAGAGCCGCTGACGTCCCTCAGTCCCCAGTCGCCCTCAGCGTTCCGGGTGACTGACGGCTGCTGAGCCAAAAGCCGGTGGGGGTGGCGGTAAGACTGCTTTACCAGAGCTCCCGTCGCCGGGGTCTTTCTTCTGGGGGAGCGTGCGCTCCAGAGCCGTCCGGGGACGTGGCGTCTAAGAACTGTTCGCCAGTGTTTACCTGAGGAGCGTGAGCTGCTGGTTAGGCGGCCGCTACAGAGGTAGCTGGGCAGGATGCGCCGCGGCTGAGGTCCCGAGTGCGGCAGCCGCCGTGCACGGGAGAGGGAGTGTGGTCTGGGGTCCAGCCAGGGCCTGGGCACTGCGTGACACCTGCCTGTGTTTCAGGCATGAGGAGCTCGACCATCTGGCCAGGGAGAGGGACGCGGTGCTGGCGGCTGTGAAGGGCGCCCACGCGGAGCAGCTGCAGGTGCTGGAGGCCAGGGCCCTGGGGCTGCAGGCCCACTGTGAGGCCCTGGAGCTGCAGCTCCGCAGGGCGGAGTGGAGGCAGGTCGATGCCCTGAAGGAGAAGGACGCCGCCATGGACAAGTGAGTGTGGGCGGGAGGGCCACTGACTGCACCCGCTGCAGGGTGGGCACTGGGCGGGTGCACCTCTACGGCTCTCTGGTCCTTTTTCTTAACCCTTTTTCCCCTTCTTTTTCAAATTCTGCCGTGTGTGTATGTGTATGAACATGCAGTTATTTGTGATAAAACATACATAATACAGAATTTACCATCTTAACCGTTTCAAGTGCACAGTTCGCTGCCGTGTACCACCACCAAAATGTCCCTTCCCGTTCCCCTCCCCCACCTCCTGGAACCCACCGTCTACGCTCTGTCCCTATGATGTTGGCGACTCTAGGACCCTCATATAAGGGGACCCTGCAGTATCTGTCCTTCTGTGACTGGCTTACTCCCCTTCCCGTAATGGCTCCTCGGTCCACCCATGTTGGAGCAGGTGACAGGATGTCCGTCCTTTTCGTGGCTGAGTGATACTCCACGGCGTGGGTGGACCACATTTTCTTTACCTATTCATCTGTCAGTGGACACTTGGGTTGTTTCCTCTTTTTGGCTCTTGTGAATAGTGCTGCTCTGAACATGGGTGTGCAGATACCTATTCAGGTCTCTTTAAAATTTGGAGGGGGATATACCCAGAAGGTGAATTGCTGGATCATATGGTAAATCTATGTTTAACTTTTTTTTTAAGATTTTATTTACTTACTTGTCAGAGAGCATGAGAGTAAAGCAGGGGGAGCAGCAGGCAGAGGCAGAGGGAGAAGCAGGCTTCCCGCTGAGCAGGGAGCCCGATGCGGGGCTTGATCCCAGGACCCTGGGATCCTGACCTGAGTTGAAGGCAGACGCTCAACGACTGAGCCACCCAGGCGCCCCTGAAATGCGTTTTTTTTTTTAAAGATTTTATTCATCTATTTGACAGAGACACAGAGAGGGAACACAAGCAGGGGGAGTGGGAGAGGGAGAAGCAGACTTCCTGCCGAGCAGGGAGCCCGATGCGGGACTCGATCCCAGGACCCTGGGATCATGACCTGAGCTGAAGGCAGACGCTTAATGACTGAGCCACCCAGGTGCCCCTATATTTAACTCTGTCCTGCTGTGTGTGGCATCCACTGGGAACTGGACTTGGCATTGGACTCCAGTCCTGGCTGCCAGTGACGAAGTGATACTTGGAGAAGCTGTGTTTACTAAGAATGTCTGATTAAGACAGTTAAATCAGGGACGCCTGGGTGGCTCAGTCGTTGAGCGTCTGCCTTCGGCTCAGGTCATGATCCCGGGGTCCTGGGAACGAGCCCCGCATCGGGCTCCCTGCTCCTTGGGAGCCTTCTTCTCCCTCTGCCTCTCATGAATAAATAAATAAAATCTTTAAAAAAAAAAAAAGACAGTTAAATCAGTCATTGGTTAGGGTTCACTTTACTTAGCAGCTGGCTTTTCCTGTATGTTTGGGGAACGTGCCTGGCTCCGTTCCAGAGAGGGTGCTCTGCCAAATTGTATTTCCATCAGGGGAGGATGGCCCTTACAACTGTACAAACCAGGGAGTTAGTGCTCACTCAGGAGGGTTTCCTTAGACTGAACCTATGGTCTTGCTTGATCTGTTCAGCACAAGCAACGGCAGTTAGGGAAGCAGACGTGACAGTCTGACGGGCGGATGTGTTCCCGCCGGGCTGCGCGGCTCTGCGTGGGCCCTTCTCACAGCTGCTTCCGGAGCTACAGAGCTTCCTTGTGTGAGGCCCGGGGCCGGCCTCCTTCCACCTGCACCCGCCTTTCAATGTGTCTGTCCCTGTGTTTCCCGCTCCTCCGTGCGGTCCGGCACGTGGGCCGTGGTCGGGTGCTGCCCGGGGCCGCCGTGCCCGGGACAGTCCGTATCTTCTCACGCTGAGACATATGCTGTTTGAAAACCAGCCACAAAAACAGCCCATGTTTTGAGCTCTTTCTTTGGGCATATTTGTGGTGATTTTCCTGAGGGCACGAGGTCGTGAACGCCACAGTAGAGAGGCCATGGCCCCGAGAGGCTCTGCGAGAACCCGACCGTGCCCTGTGCCTACCGTACCTACTACGACGGGGTCACAGCCGGGCACACGGGCGGCGCCAATTTCCAGCGTCCACAGTTACGGCACAGAAAGAAAGAGGGGAGACGGTTGAACCCAATCAGGTGGTGCATCGTTAACAAGTAATCAGTATAAAGACTAATAATTTTTGCCTGAAAAAAATTATTATGGAGATATTTTGCATTTTTTGGGTGCTAAATTTTGAAGGTGCACCTCAATTCAGACCAGCCACGTGCTCAGGAGCCATGCGTGGCCCGTGGCCCATGGTGAGCGGCACAAGCCTGAGTGCTTGACTGCGGGGGTCCGGGACGCGGTAAGGGTGAATCCCCACGCTCTCCAGAGCCCCGACCTTATCGGGCTGGGTTGGTCTTAGCAAACTAGTGCAGGGAGCACAAGCAGAGCCCTGCGGTCGGCAGATCCCTTGGTCGGTGTGTGTTGCAAACAGAAGACGTACAAACACAGCTCCGAGTTCTAGCGGCTTCTCCTGTCGTTGGGGGGGGGCTGCCACACTCGGGGTGCATAGGAGCAGTGTCGGGGAGCGCAACAGGAGGTCCACGCAGAACGTCCCCCTAGTGCTGCTTGAGGCCCGGGCAGGGGACCTCCAGGGCTGCCAGCCACTCTCCCACCTGGAAAGTCGGAAAAAGCCTCAGTGACAAGTTCCCTGCTGGCTGATGTCCTTTGCCTCTTAGAGCAGAGTTGCTGACAGATGGGTGACGAGGAGGGCTACACTTCAGGAATCCGGAGGAGGGCCCGGGGGTTTTGTGTCCGTCCAGCTTCTTGGTGGCGTGTGCGTGGGAGTGTAGCCGGAGGAGAGCCCTCATGTCCCCCCGTCACGTCAGACCCTTGGTGCTGGTGCAGCACAGAGGCCGAGGCCCAGACCCCGTGGGGGCGCAGCTCCAGGGCAGCGCGTGCTGAGGGCCATCTTGGCAACGGTCCTGGCCTGCTTGGGCAGGCGTGCGCCTGGAGCGGGGGCCGGGCAGCCCCCAGGCCGAGCCAGTCCCGGCCCCCGCTCCAGGCACTTGCACGGTGTGTTAGCTGGATGTGTTCTGAAGTTCCCAACGTCGCGTAGCCCTTTGTGGTGTGAGAACAGGTGTGGGTCAGGATGGTTTGGCGAACCGTACTAGAAATAATTTGTTGCAAGTGTATGAAGAAAAACGGTCTTTTTCCAGTGGCTGAGAATCGTGCTGGGAACTCTGTCAACAGACTCTCTTCCTCCTCTGAAAACGTCTGGCGCCATGCAGCTTCCAGGCAGCTTGGCAGCAGAGCCCAGAGACGCTAGCGGCTCAGCAGCAGCCTTGCTCTCCTCGGGTGGCGATTCTGTCCCTCCCCCTGTGGTGATCGGCTTCCCTGGGCAGTATCTCTGGGTGTCTTCTCTAGAGCTCTTCTTCTGGGGAAGCTTATCCAAGCTGTGCTGATTCTGCCAGGGAGTGTAGGGTTTCTATAGGACCTCGTCTTACCCTTGAACTTGAAGACATGTGTCTGCACGTTGAAGGGCTGCCTGAGGCGTGGCAAAGGTGAGCCCAGCGGCACCACCCCAAGACCCCTGTGGCTCACTGTCCTCTGCACGTCTGGCGCGGACTTGGCGGGTTGTAGGTGTTCAGTGGGCACCTGGGTTGGTGGGATGGACGGGTGGGTATTTCTTCTCGGGTAGGACCGTTTCCTAATCTGGGTGAGGAAGTCTCCACCCTGATCTGGAGACACTGGTGTGTGGGTTTCCTTTGAGGGCGGCGTGCATGTGGGTGTGTGTGTGTTGGAAAGCTTGAGTGAGCACCACACCCACATTCACACAGCTTTCCTTCTTTGTGCAGACTTCGGGAAGATGCATCAGCTCTAAAATCCGGCTGGGATGCCCAGATCGCTCAGCTGTCCAAGGAGATGATCTCCAAGGACCTTCAGCTTCAGTCGCTGCAGGAAGAGGAGGTAGAACTCAAGGCACATCTGGCCAGATGCCAGCAGGACATCGGAAGGTGACTGTCCCCACAGCTTCCCCGAGAGCGGTCTTTTCGCTGCACACCTCCTAGGGGCCTGGTGCTGTTCTGGGTGCTGCGGGTACAAAAGGGAACAGAATCAAGGCCCTGGCCTCGCATCCTATTGAGGGAGAAAGACAAGAAACAGGAAAGAGAAGAAGAACATCTGGTCGTGAGAAGGGAGAGCACAGGAGGGACGGGGTGATGGAGGGTGGCCGGAGAAGGCCTTTCCCCGGGAACGGGCCCGGGTCCGGAGCGAGCACCACAGCAGCGTTCTTGCTGCTCGGTCCCGTGTGGACAGTCGCTGCTTCGTGCCTCCTGTGTGATTGCTAAGGAAGCTTGTGTAAAGAACGTGTTCTCTCTCTCGAGGAGTAACTTAAATACAACAGATGCCCTTGTTTCAGCTGTACGGTTGCTGACTCTTGACTCAGCCTCCCCCGCAGCCGAGACGCGAACCCTGGCCCTGGCCCCAGCCCTGCGGCCGCCCCGCCTGCCGCTCCGCATTCCGTCTGTGTGCACTTTGCATCTGGCTTCTCTGCATGCTTGTTGCACGTTTTCTGTGTTTCTGTGTCAGTTTGGGGAATTTGCGTCTTTCAGTGAGTTTGCCCATTTCGTGTCATTGTTGACTTTATTGGCACGGAACTGTTCGTGGTGTTTCTTTATGTTTCCCCAGTGTGTGCAGAGCCTGTCGTAACCATCTCTGTCCTGTTCGTGATCAGCCTAGCTGGACATCTGTCGATTTTACAGATTTTTTCAAAGAGCCAGCTTTTGGTTTCATTGACTTTTCTCAGTTGTTTTCCAGGTTTTTACTTTCATTGACATCTACTCTCAAAAGATTATTTCCTTTCTTCTGCTTCCTTTGGCTTTAATTTGATGTTCTTTTGATAGCTTTTAATGGTGGGGTCCTCGATTATTATTTTTGAACCATTGTTTTTTTCTGAGAAACGTGAGCATTTAATGCTGTGAATCTCCTTCCGAGCACTACTTTACTGCATCCCACAAATTTTGATATTATTCAGTTAAAAATACTTTCTGATTTTCCTTGTGATTTCTTTTTTGGTCCATGGGCTGTTTAGAAATGTGTTGCTAAGTCTCCCATCATTTTGAGATTCCCAGATATCTTTTTGTTACTGATTTCTGATTTAGTTCTGTGTGTCTGCTCCACGGGATCCAAGTGCGGGGAGCACGGGCATTCGGGAACTTCATGGTCACGGGACAGCGCTGTGGCGGTTCCTGACGTTTTACAAAGTATTGGCCCTCCGTGGACATTTTAAGAGTCTCATGCTCTACCGACTGAGCTAGCTGGGAGCTTCTCCGTGGACATTTTAAAAATAAACAACTCGGGGGTGCCTGGGTGGCTCAGGCGGTTGAGCGGCCGACTCTTGGTTTTGGCTCAGGGTGTGGTCTCAGGGTCCTGGGATCGAGCCCCGAGTCGGGCTCCTCACTCAGAGGGGAGTCTGCTCGAGATTCTCTCCCTCTGCCCCTTCACCAGCTTGTGTTCTCTCTCTCTCAAAAATAAATAAATAAATCTTTAAAAAAAAATAAGTGGGCTTTCACCACAGTTTGCAAAGCCTTGTCCCACTGCTGTGAGCCTTTGTGTCTGAAGATGTGCCCATGTTTGCCTTTTTGCGTGAGTGCTGATTTTGCTGGGTTTAGGATGCTAAATTCCAAATCACTTTTCCCTGGATTTTTAAAAAATACTTTATTTATTTATTTGACAGAGAGAGACAGTGAGAGAGGGAACACAAGCAGGGGGAGTGGGAGAGGGAGAAGCAGGCTTCCCGCCGGGCAGGGAGCCCGATGCGGGGCTCGATCCCAGGACCCCGGGATCATGACCCGAGCCGAAGGCAGTTGCTTCACCAACTGAGCCCCCAGGCACCCCTTCCCCTGGGTTTTAAACCCATCGTGTGTTACTTTATTATTGATCTGGAACAAATCACTGTAAACTTAGTGGCTTAAACGACGCCCATTTATTATCTCAGTTTCTGTGGTCAGGAGTCCGGCTCGGCTCGGCTCAGCTGTGTCCCTGGCAGAGGGTCTCACTAGGCTGGGACCACGGTGCCGGCCAGGCTGCCCTTTCCTTCCAGGCTCCTCAGGGTGGTGGCAGAGGTCCTTCCCCGCGGCTGCGAGCCCTGACAGTGTGGCTTCCCGGCAGCTACCTCTCAAGACCGGCAGGAAACCCTCTGGTGGGCAGGACAGGGTCTCGTGTGGCTCACCCGATCAGGGGCGCCCATCCGGTCGTGCACACAGCCCGCCACCCTTGGGGGAGAGGCCGTCCGGAGCCCCCCACCATGCGTTGCCCCACGTGGCCGACGAGAAGCCTGGGGCCCATCTGGCACTCTCTCTCTCTGTCCCTTAGGCTTCTCTTTCATCCTGGAACCCAGCACCGCACACAGCATCTGTGTGTGTGGTCCTGTAAAGCTCCCCCTGCCTGGTGCTTGGCGAGCCCTTGTGGTCCGAGGACGTGCGTCCCCCCAGTTGTGCAGGCTTTTCTCCTTTGTCTCCTCCGTTCTGATCTCTCTGGACCCGCTCTTAGATGGACGTCGGTCCTCTGAGCTCTGGAGGCTCTCTCTGTCCTGGCGGCTCCGAGCTCTCCGGCTCGGCCCGCTCTGCTCTCTGGTGGTTGCTCTGAAACCTTCTCACATTTCTCCGCTGGAACCACTTCTCTTTTTTTTCCCCCAAGTTTGTTAGCTTTCTTCCCTTCTCTTCTTACGAATGGGTTCTTCTGTTTCTTGAGTTTGATGTTCCGTGGTGCTGGTTTCCTTGGTGTTGGGAGCCCCTGCTCCTCTCTGAACCCGAGCCTGCCCGCAGATGCCCTGTCTCCTCTGCGTCCACACTGCAGACTCCTCCCGGCTTCGCCAAGCATGCCTTGTGTCCGCGAGTGCACGGGAACAGGGCCAGCCCACAGGGGGCCCCCGAGGGACCCGACTGCAGTGTGGTAGCGCCCTCCCTCCACCCCGCCACCTTTGCTCTTCACGTGCAAGACATTAACCTCCGTGCTTTTCCCGTCCCCGGAGGTACAAACAGCAGCTGTCCGCGGCCGCGGAGAGGGAGCGGTGCCTGGAGCGCGAGAAGATGCAGCTGGAGCTGGACTGGCGGCAGCGCTGTGACAGTGTGGAGAGGGACCAGTACCGCAAGTCTGAGGACCTGATTCAGGCCCTGACCGAGGCGCGGGATCAGGTCTGCGTCCCCAGGCTCGTCAGGTTTCGTCCTGCGCTGGGAGGGCCTGGGAGCGCCCTGTGGCCCCTGGAGGAGGGCTCTGGGCTCTCACCGCATTGTCGTTTGGATTGGAAGATGCCGAGCCTCACTGAGCTGCGTGAAGTGTAGCAACAAAGATGAGAGCAACGAAAGGTGTCCCTGTCCTGCCCACAGCCTCTGACAGCATCTTAGTTTTGCTACATTGGTTGTTTCCCTAACTGACCAGTGCTGGGAGGATCCCTGGCCACACCCGAGCCTGGGGCTGCCTCTCAGCCGGCCCTGGCCGCTGCGTGGTCCTGGGCCCCGGGGGCTGCTCACTCACGCGTCTGCTGTCTGCTCCCCGGGAGGGACCCCGGAAGTTGGCCTGCTGCCTTGTAACCCCCCCAGCGGGAGCTGAGTCCCACATCTCCTCCCAGGTTGCTGCCAAGCTCCAGGAGACAGAGCGGACGCTGCGTGACCAGGAGGTGGTGCTGAAGGCCTTGACCCTGGAGAGAGACCAGGCCGTGCAGGCGCTGAGGACACAGGGGCTCCTTCCTGAGAAGGAGGTGCAGGTCAGTGCTGCCCCTCTCCTCCCTAAGCCTCCCCTGGGAAGGCCCACCCCCAGCGGCCCGCTCCTTGAGCCTTCCCTCAACAGCGGCCGTGGGAGAACGGGGCCACACAGAAGCCACCTGGAGGCCGGTCCTCTCAGCCCTGTTCCTTTCCCGTGTCTGTCAGCAAACGGGCCAGTCTGGCCCCTGGAAGAGCTGAGGTGACCCTGTGCTCAGACTCTTCTCCGTATCTTTAGTTCTTGAAATCTCAAGAACACCCACGTTCTGCCGTTCTGCCATACAGATGGTTAGTGTACAGTTGCTTCCGTGGCCTCCTCCACGGAGCTGTTGTGGGGGGTCGCTGTGTGCCGTGACCCCGTCCGCAGGGACTGCCTGAGTCAGGCAGGTCTGCCGAGAACTCTGTCCCGGCCCCTGGATCCTCCGATGCCGAGGTCGGTGCCGTGGCCCGAGACACAGGGACCCTGCGGAACGGTTTGGAAGGAGCAGGGCCGGGCCCCAAGGTCCACGGTCAGAGGGGCAGGGGCAGCATGAGGTGGGGGAGCGGGAGGGGCAGGTGGAGGATTTTTCCAGGCCCATGAACAGTTCTTGTCTCGCTTGACACACAGTGAAACACACAGATCTTCAGTGCACACAGGTCAGTGTGTTTGCCGTGACTGTGCCCATGGGGCCCAGCCTTCCAACAAGATACAGAGCATTTCTGTCACCCCGGAAGTTCCCCTTCCCATTGGTCCCCGTCCCCGTCCCCACCCCAAGGGCAGCAGCCGCTCAGACCTCTGGCTTGTCACAGGGACCCAGGTGGGCAGGATTTCCTCCAAGACGATGCGCTGGCCGAGTGTCCAGGGCTCAGCTCCTAACCAGTGTCAAGATATTTGTAATTTGGGACGCCCGGCCAGCTCAGTCTGTAGAGCATGTGACTCTTGATCTCAGGGTCGAGTTTGAGCCCCACGCTGGGTGTAGAGGTTACCAAGACGTACGTGTGTATACATATGTTCCTAACTTGTCCTAAGCTGTGTACAGGACCCAAGACCTCTACTTCTTCTCTCAAGAACGTAAGTTCTGGCGCAGGCTCAGAGTTGACATCTGGTGATCCTGTCTCGGTCATTCATGAGAATTGTCAGAACCCAGGAAAATGACCCAGTGTCTGTGAGGACAGCTGGGCGGGAGCCACAGCCTTGGGGAGGACGTGGCACATGACCACGGAGGCTCCCTCGGGCCTCGGCAGCACAGGGCAGCGGGAAGGCTCACGGGGAGGGATCCGTGGGCGGCAGGGACACCAGTGTCCTTCCTGCCACGTCACTGGCCACAGAGCCGGCTCACTTACTTTAAAAATTGGGAAGAATGCTTCCTGTCCTGGTAGCTTTGTCGGCGTCGGTGCTGATTTTGGAGGATGCAGTGTGGTCAGACGTCCGGAAAGAAATCCCAGGGTGCAGCCGAGGGCCCTCTTGTAATGGAAACCTGTGTCTCTCCAGGAAGGACAGAACTAAGGGGCTAGAATTTATCCCAGAGACATGCGTCTTCACACCTGCTGTCTGAGCCACCGACATACAGCCGTGACCGTGTCCTCCCCACAAAGATCTCTGCGCTGACGGACAGCCTCCCAGAGTCTGACAGTGACCATGAGGGGCCTGCGGGCTGACGGTGGCCCCGAAGAGACAGGTTCCGGTCCTAACCGCCAGCTCTTCGGGATGCGACCTTACTTGGAAATAGGGTCTTTGTGGATGTAACCAGTTCAGATGAGCTCACTCGGGAGCAGGGTCCTAATCCAACATGACTGGCGTCCTTATAAAAAGCACAGCACGTGGAGACACAGGGAGAAGGCCAGGTGCCGACGGAGGCAGACACGGGAGCGACGTGGCCCCAGACCGAGGGACACGGAGGAGTGCGGGTCCACGCTAGAAGCTGGAAGAGGCAGGAAGAGTTCTAGCCAGGGCCCCCGAGGGAGCATTTGCTTCCAACCTGAGGCACGAGCCCCACGGTCAGCGTCACAGGAGGCCCCAGCCCCCCACAGGTCTCACCTCAAGGCCCCTGAGGGAAGCCGTGTCGCTGGGAAATTGGGGAAATGCGGCAGGGGAAGTGGCTTCCGGGGCAGAGCCAGGGGCCGTGTGTCCGGTAGTCCAACCTCTGTCCTTTATGAAAGGTCACTCACCCGGTTGCATGCATGGAGGCTGAGCAGGGACCGCGTCAGGCTCGGAAGACCCGGCCCTCCCGGTGCTACGGGGCGCAGGGCAGTGCACAGCCCGTGCCAGACGAGATCGTGGCTCTCGGAGCTGGCTGGGCTGCCCCAGGGTTTGGGGGCTGATGCTGCCGTCCCATCCTACGGATGAGGGAGCCAGGACCCCGAGAGGGGTGGTCCCTGCCCCACAGCAGCAGAGGGAGCATCTGAGCAGGGCCGGGCCAGCGGCAGGTCCCACGCGGCTCTGCTCTGGGGTCTGTGAGGGGCAGCTGTGAGGTTTTGTGCGAGATGTTCCGACGGGCATGGGAAAGGGAGGTTGGGGGTTTGCAGGGAGACAGGTGGCCCTTCCTGTCTGCAGTGTCCGCGGTGAGCAGTGGGGCCGTGGAGGGCGTGACGGGGGGAGGGTGTTGGAAAGCTGAGGTCTGTGTTCAGTAGAAAAAGAGCTAGCTGCCTTCTGGAGGGAGAAGTAACGTGTGGCCACTGCAAGAACTCAACAGTCTCCATTCAGCGGCGTGGCCTCGAACCCGGCGGACCCAAGGTCCAACCCGGCTCAGCTCCTGTGTGGCCCGGAGCAGGTTTCCTCTCACAGCCTCCAGGGCACTTTCGTGGCAAATGAAAGAGTGGCCGGCGCGTGGCAGTGGGTTGAGCACGCGGGGGCAGCGTGGAGACGGCGTGGCGGCTGGGTCAGACCTCGTTAGCTCGAGCGTCCATTGCTTCATCTGTGTGATGCGTCCCCTTCGCAGAGCATTGAAGGGGGGCTATGACCCAGCGCCTGGCCCTCCAGAGGACGTGGAAGTACCCGTGGTCAGGCCTTTCAGGCACTCTGGTGCGTTTCTCTAGTTGCCTCTTCCTGTGGGTCTTAAACGTGCCCCCATGCACGTACTATTTTTATAGACTTCAGGTTGTGCTATATAATTTTGAGTCTTTTTTTCCACTTCTACGACGACTGTGTTTCATGTCCTTGTAATTCTTCAGAACACAATGTGAATGGTTGTACATTTGACCGTATGGCCCTTCTCTTCCCCGCGGCCGCTGGGCCGGTTAGCGCCTGTTGTCCTAAGGCTGCATGGCCGTGTTGGAGCTTGGTGGAAGCTCACCTTCTGCTCGGGTGGGTCAGTGCCGCAGGACTGGGCAAGCCGCAGGAAGGCTGGAGCTGCGGAGCCTGTGTGGCAGCCGGGGCGGCCGGCCCGTCGGCAGGTGCCTGTCTGTGAGCGGGGCCTCTGCTTGGGCTTGGACCCAGAACTGGGCAGTCCGCCTGCAGGGCCGCGTTCCCTGGCCCGAGCCTCAGGCATCCCGGTCCTGTGCTGGCCTGTGGGCAGACACTCGTTTCCTGGAACGCGTCTGGTTTTCTGGTGGTTTACAGCCAGCAGCAGGCCCCGCTGCAGTGAGCCCCTCGTGGTCACTGTCATTTCTGAAGGATGCCACCGCTGACCGTTGGATTGCAAGGCAGCCGGGGTGTCCCTTCCTGCATGCCGCACACCAGCCCTCTGTCTCGAGGGTTTCAGCGGCTGTCACGAGGGGTCAGCAGAAACCTGCGTTTGTGCCCGTCACACCACGTAATACCCTGTTTTCCTCTGATCACTTCCGGGAGTTTTCTCTCTACCACTGATCTTTTTTAGCAGTTTGATCATGATGTGCTGTCTGGTGTGATTTTCTTTGTGTTTATTCTGCTTTGGGTTCGGTGGACTTCTTGGATCTGTGGACTTACGTGTTCATCACATTTGTTATAAATGAAGTACTTCGGGCGCCTGGGTGGCTCAGTCGGTTAAGCGACTGCCTTTGGCTCAGGTCATGATCCTGGAGTCCCGGGATCGAGTCCCGCATCGGGCTCCCTGCTCAGCAGGGGGTCTGCTTCTCCCTCTGACCCTCCTCCCTCTCATGCTCTCTGTCTCTCATTCTCTCTCTCTCTCAAATAAATAAATAAAATCTTTAAAAATAAGTAAATAAGTAAATAAGTAAATAAATGAAGTACTTCTTCTGCTGAGCCTGATGACTCTCTCCAGTCTCACTCGGTGCTCGAGCTGCACTTGCTGTTGCCGCGTGCTTGCGCTCACGGAGCCCTCCTCTGCGACGTCTCGTCAGCTCAGTGAATTTCTCATCTCTGTGGGTGGTGTCTGGTTTTCTAAAATTATCTTCCATTCCTCTTCCTGTTATGTCCCTGTTTTTCTTTACACCCTTGAGCGTGTTTATGATCATAACTGCACTGAGCTCTTGGACCACCACTTAGCAGGTCTTCATGGTTCATCTGTGTGATCGCGTGTATTAGAACTTCATTCCTTTTTGTGGCTGAGCGCTGTTCCACTGTGTCACGTTTGTTTTCGTTCACTCGTCCACTGGGGACACTTGTGTTTGCACATTTTGAAAAACGGTGCCGTGAACACGCACGTACAAGTTTTTAGGTGGACGTATGTTTTCGGGGTGGAATTGTGGGTCATGTAGTAACTCCGTGTTTAACCCTTTGAGGAGCCGCCAGACTGTCTTCCCCGCGATGCAGCGGCGCCCGCCCGCAAGCAGCCTTCCCGGCGGCTGACGGCCCCGCGTCGCCTGCCTGTCCTTTCCACGCCAGCCGCCCCATGGGTGGGCGGTGGCTTCCAGGTTTCTCAGGAGAAGCTGCCTTTGGCCAACAGCAGCCTTGTCTTTGCGACAGCTAGAAGTTCGGTGTCGTCAGTTGAGCCGGGAGGGCAGACGAGGGGGGTGCGGACACAGCCGGCCCTGGACGGGCAGCGAGCCGCAGGGTTCTTCTGTAGCTGTGAGCACTCTCTTTCTTTCTTGACAGATGCTCCTAAGGCATCACGAGGAAGAAATAAGGGGAAGTTTTCCGTCTAGTGAGATCCAGAGGCTCCAGGAGCAAAACACAAGCTTACGAAGGGCTGTTTCAGAGATGAGGAAAGAAATGGAGACCCTGAGTGACCTCGTTCTTCCTCCTGCCCCGTCAGGGGGTCAGTCCTCCGACACAGAGCAGCCCCGTCCAAGCCCAGAGGCAGCAGCTGAGGCTCCTGGTGAGCGAGGGCGAGGGCAGCAGGAGAGGGGAGGGCAGGGGACATGGGTCTCCACTGGGTCCAAGATGGGCTTCCCCTGGAGTCTCATGCATGAACGTCTGCTTTAAAACGTTACTTCAAACTGTGGCAGCAGCATTTCCTCGGAGAGAGAGTGTCTTAAGTCCGTGCCTCTGTGTGGGATAACAGCGTGTATTGGTAAAGGGAGAAGGACCGCGAAGGCTGTGTACCCGGCACGGGGAGGTGGCTGGGCACCGGGTTCGAGTGGCGGGCAGCAGGCCTCTCCTCGGAGCGTCCTGTGCTGTAGCCGAGCTGGGCTCCGCCCCGTGCGCGGTGAGGAGGGGCCCAGGAATGGCCATGACACTGTGCGCATGAAGGCTCACGAGGGGGCGCCGGGTGTCTGCCGGCTTGTGGCGGCCAGTGGCCGTTGTGGGGGGCGGGCCGCGAGCAGGCGGCCCCAGCCTGGGTGGGCCTCTGCCCTGGTGACGGTGGAGGGGAGTGTCAATGTGTATGCCTGTGTATTCACTGTTTTTTGGGGGGCAGATCACGTTACAGTCCTTGAAACAGAAATACGAAACCTAAAGCATAAATTTAAAACCTTGGAAGAACAAGTAGAAGATGTGTTAGATCCTTCCAAAAGGCCCTGCTCTTACACCGACTTTCAGCCCAGCGTCTGCACCTCGGCCGGAGTCCCCGGTAAGAGTCCTTGTCTCGTCCTGTCACGTGCTCTGCCCCAGTAACACTACCTTTGTTTTGACTGAAATATAAACCTTACAGAAAGTCCTGAAATGCAAATGCACAGGTCAAGGAATGGCCGCAAAGTGTAGGTCCCTGTCCCTGCCTCCAGGAGTCCCCGGGCCAGGCCGTTCTCAAAGTGTTTACGCCGGTTCACCCCTCTGTGTGGGCGCCTCCCTGCCCCACCCCTGCTCCGACAGCACGCAGACGCCCCCTCACCCCGGCTGGGGCGCTGGCCGGGTGGAGGGCCCACCTGGGGGAGCTAGGGGGACGGACGCAGGCCAGGCAGCGCCCTCAAGCTGCCCAGCAGATGGGTTATGAGAAGAGAAGGGAGGGAGCAGGACGCTGCCCCTCTCGATCATCCCGTCTCTGCTCAGGAGCTGGCTGGCTTCCCAAAGCTGGTATCTTTTATTTCTTTTTCTTTTTTTTTTAAAGATTTTATTTATTTTTTCATGAGAGACAGAGAGAGAGAGAGAGAGAGAAGTAGAGGAGAAGCAGGCTCCCAAGGAGCAGGGAGCCCAATGCGGGACTCGATCCCAGGACCCTGGGATCATGACCTGAGCCGAAGGCAGACGCTTAACCGTCTGAGCCACCCAGGCGCCCTTTTATTTCTTTTTCTTAAGTTACGTTTCCTGGCCGGCATCTCCAGTAGGATGTTGGTAACGGCTGGCTTTCTTCCTGATCCCAGAGAAAAATTTTCAGCATTTCACTTTAATACTTGGTAAGGATTTGGGGGCGCAGGGTCAGAGTAAGGAAATTCCTTTCTCTTCCTGTTGTTAGGCAGATCTTTGCTTTTTATTGTGATTCTGTCAGTTCTGCGTCATGTGTTCTGAAGCCTTGTCGTTGGATGCGTACAGCCCTAGGATTGCTGTGTTTGTGACGGGGACGGACCCTTCCAGGGTCCCGCAGCTCTCCTTGCCCCGGGGTCCGCTCCGCGTGCTGTTGGTCACTAACCTGGCCTCCCCCTGGTGAGTGCCTGCTCGGCGTGTCTTCGGGATCCTTTCCTCTGTTAGCGTGCTTCTACCACATTTGGAGTGAATTTCTTGTGGACAGCACATAGCTCGGTCAGTTTCTAAAATCCATTTTGCTAATGTTTCTAACCAATATACTTGCACTTGTCGTGTGGAGGGTGAGCAGCCGCTTCCTGCCTGTTTTCTGTCTTCCTGCTCGTGGGTCATCTGCACGTTGTTGGTGTTCCATTGCCATGGGTCTGTGGTTGCTGAGGGCACAGCTCTGGTGGCTGCAGGACCACGGCCAGCCCCCGTCCACACTGCACAGCCTCCCTCGGAAGGTGGAGGTGTGCCTGCCACGCACGCCCCGTGCCCGCGTGGCTGTCACAAACCCCGCCTCTCCTACGTCGGGAGCTGCTTCAGGCAGGATTATCGTTCTTGCTTTGAAATGTCAAACGTACTTCAAAAAACTCAAGAGGAAAGGTGGAGTCTGTGACCCTGCCCTTTGCCCTTTGTGTCCTTCCTGCGTCCCGACGTTCCAGGTTCCACATCATCTGCTCTTAGGGCAGGTGCTGGTGCCAGATCTTTCCCTTTACCCGAGAAGGGAATATATTCGCTGGTGTCAAAGGAGGAGCTTTCAGCCCTTAATCCAGTGGTGCCACTTCCTCCGAGAAGGCCTCTGCCATCCAGCCCTTTCCCCGACCAGTCGCAGGCCGAGTCTGTCGCTCACAGCAGGTATCTGATGGTGCTGTGTCTGGACACATGCTTCTTTGGCTTATCATGTTGGGCATTGAATCTGAAGGTTGTTGTCTTTGCCAAATTTGGGGAGTTTTCAACCATGACTTCTGCACGTGTTTTCTCGACTCCGTGCTCTTTTTCCCTTTGGGACTCTGGCGGCAAAAATGCTCGCTCTCTTGTTCTTCTCCCACAGGTCGCTGTGGCTCTGTGACTTCTTTCCATCTGTTTCCCCTGTTGTTCAGATGGGCAATTTCTACGTCCATCTTCAAGCCCACAGGCCTGCTGTCACCTCCATGCTGCTCTGGGGCCCTTCGGGGGCACTTTTATTTCGGTTTCAGTTCTAAGATTCCATTGTGTTTTTCTTTATCTTTTACCGCTCTGCTGAAACTTTTCTTCTTCCATTGTTTTAAGACTGTTGATACATTCTTGCTTTAGGTTCCTTGTTCCCTATTCCACATGATCCCGACATCTGCCCTCTCAGTGCTTCATTTGAGTTGGGATTTTCCTGGTTATCGGTGTGATGAGAGACTTTGGATGATGACATGCACATACCAAGGGGATGCTCTGAAACTCCGATCTTTATGACGTCTGTTTGATTCCTCTTCTGCGCTTTCGGGCCCTCCACCTTGCTCAGGCACAATGCACGTCTGTGTCCTGGCCCGCTGTCTCGGGCTGGGTCTGAACGGCCCCTTGGTCTCCAGAGCCTTTGCGATGATGCTGTTCTGTGCCTCCTTGTGTGCGGCCCGAGGCCATGGTCCTGGCGCTCTCTGCCCGCCCCCCCCCCCCCCCAGCAGAGCTCAGCTCGCAACACTTCGGCCATCCCCATGCTGCCTGGTTTCCACAGGGGCCCCTCAGGGACTTGGTGCAGAGTTAAGGAATCCCTTTCTCTGCCCTGCGCACCCGCCCCCCCCCCCCCCCCGCACCCTCCACACCTGCTCTTCCCAGGAGGGTGCAGGCGGCTGGTGCAGATGAGCCTCTGTCTGCACCACGCCCGCCTGTGGAGTCCCCCTTCCCTGGCCCTTCCACTGCAGGGAACAGGCCTGGCTGGAGCCTTTCTTGGTGCGAGCTCCCTGGTGTGTCTGGGCTGTGGCTGCTCCAGCATCAGAGCTCGGAAATACAGGAGGGAAACGACGGGGAGCCCTCTGCGGGGTGTCCCCATCCCCGGAGCCCCCGGCCCTCGCCCGCTGGGCCTCCCCCCACAGCCGCTTTGGGCTTACAGCCGCACCGAAGGAGAGGGCGGGGCACGCACGCGCTGTCTTGTCCAGAACAGCGAGCTTGCGTCGGTTTTTGAATGTTAAACCAACTTTACATCTCTGGAATAAACTCAACACGTGATATATTCTTTTACTGCTATTTTACTGACAATTAATACGTTTATGTTAGTGAGTGACTTTGGCTGTACCCTTTCTTTCTCATGATGCCCATTGTCAAGTTTTAGGACCACGGGTCTGGCCTCAAATGTGTTGGGAGATGTTCCCTAGTTCTGTTTTCTGAAAAAGTTTTATATTAGACCCATGTTAATTTTTCCTGAACCAATTAATAGAATTCAACTCTGAGCCCCTCTGGGTTTAGGATTTTCCTTGTGAGAAGGTTTTAAAGTGTGAATTCAGTTTTTTTCACAGTAAAGGACGATCCCGATTTTCTTTTTCGTGTGTCACTTTTTGATAATATATTTTACTAGAAAATTGTCCATTTCATCTAGATTTTTAAAAATTGCCTATAGTATTGTCCTTCGAATTTTATTTTACTGTAATTTATTTATTAGAGAGAGTGAGAGAGAGCATGAGAGCAGGGGTAAAGGGCAGAGGGAGAAGCAGGCTCCTCCCTGAGCAGGGAGCCTGGATGCAGGACTCAACCCCAGGACCCCCAGGATCCTGACCTGAGCCAAAGGCGGATGGATGCTTAACCGACTGAGCCACCAGGCGCCCCTGTTTTTAAATTTTTTAAAAGATTTATTTATTCATTTGAGAGAGAGCATGCACAAGCAGCGGGAGGGGCAGAGGGAGAGGGAGAGAAGCAGACTCCCCCCTCAGTGCAGAGCCCAAAGCGGGACTCGATCTCACGACCCTGAGATCATGACCTGAGCCGAGATCAAGAGTCTCACACTCTACCGACTGAGCCGGCCAGGCAGCCCTGCATTCCAGAAGTTTTGATAAGCAGTGTATTAATGATAATTCAGGTCAAAATAATTTCTAACCTCCACCGATCCCTTCTTTGACCTATGGTCGTAAGAACGTTTCCCTAGTTCCCAAGCAACTGGGAGGCTGGTGCAGGTGGCAAGGCCGTACTGTTTTCCTGCAGAGGTTCCTGCTTCCTTGACACGAGGATGAGACTTCATCCCAGCGCCTCTCAGTCTTTGTGGGGACCTGGCCCCTTCCGCTCAGCTCTAGAGCATCTTCACTTCCCAGTGGACGTACAGTGACAGCAGGCATCCCCAGGGGAGGGCAGCGAAGCATGCATCTCTGCCCTGGACGGCACAGCCTCCACTCCCAGGACCTTCCCCGAGGCTGTAGGAGGCCTGAGCCTGACAGAATCACTCTTTCTGCAGGAGGAGCCGTGTCAGCTGATGGTTCACCCATTGGGCTAGCCCTCAGGAGGCTCAGGGACAGGGCACATCTCACAAACTTCCTGGTGGCCCGGCTCAGGCGGAAGGTAGGGCCGCCCCTTGACCCTTGGGCTGGGCAGGTCTTCTGGCTGGACCGCTTGACCGCTCTGTGCCTCGGTTTCCCTCCAAAGAAGGGGTTGTTGTGAGGTCACGTGTGGTCCCTAGAGGGCGCACCGGAGGACCTGGTAAAGGAGTCCAGAGCCTGTTCCCTCTGCCGCACACAGGGCTGCTCCTGCCTCGGGGTGCGACACGCCGGAGCGCGTCCAGGTGCTGAGCTGTGGCGGGACGTGCGGGGCCGGCGATGAGCGTGTCCAGACACCCCGGGGCCTGTGTGGGGTCAGGCCACAGTCACGCACTGGGCCGATGCCCACTGCTTCCTGGGACCCGAGCTCTCCCCTGCCACACGTGTGCCCATGCTTTATTGCTCTAAACTCATTTCTCTTTTTTTAGTGTATTTTTCATTGTGGTAAAATACACAAACATAAAGCTTACAGTTTTCAAGCACACGTTCAGTGACGTTAACTATGTTCACAGCACTGTAAATGTCACCACCACCTATTACGCCCAGAACTTTTCCATCATCTGAGCAGAAACTGTCCCCATTCAACACCAGCCCCACACCCCTTCCCCTGGGGACATCCGTCCTGCCGCTGGGCTGGATGACTCTCCTGGGACCGGGGTCCTGCGGCAGCTGTCTTTTTGTGACCAGCTCATTTCCCTCAGCACCATGTCCTCAAGGTTGCTCCACAGGTGGGAGCATCAGTCAGTCCTTGACGCCTTCTAAGGCCTGAGTGATATCCGTACCTTGTGGATCCATTCATCCAACGGACACTTGGTTGTTTCCACCTTTTGGCACTTGGGAGTAACGCTGTGAACGTGGTGTGCAAACATCCGTGCAAGTCCCTGCTTCCCATTCTTTCGGGTACACGTGTAGGAGCGTAAGTCTATATTTCACTTTTTGAAGAACCACCAAACCATTTTCCCACGTGACTGCACCGTCTTATGTCCCCCCGGCCGTGTGTGAGGATCCCGACAGCCCACATCCTGACCCACATGACCTGTTTTCTGTCTTTTTAATTCTGGCCAATCCAGTGGGTGCGAAGTGGTACCTCACTGTGGTTTTGAGTTGCATTTTCCCTGATGACTAACAATGAGGAGCTTCATCTCATGTGCTCACTGGCCATTTGTATGTCTTCTTCAGAAAAATGTCTATTCGGATCCTTTGCCCATTTGTAATTGGGTTGTTTGTCTTTTTTATTGTTGGGTTCTAAGAGTTCTTTATATATTCTGGATACTACTAGTCCCTTATCAGATGTACAATTTGCAAAGTTTTTCTCCCATTCTTTTTTTTTTTTTTTAAGATTTTATTTATTTATTTGACAGAGAGAGACACAGCGAGAGAGGGAACACAAGCAGGGGGAGTGGGAGAGGGAGAAGCAGGCTCCCCGCGGAGCAGGGAGCCCGATGTGGGATTCGATCCCAGGACCCTGGGACCATGACCCGAGCCGAAGGCAGACGCTTAACTGACTGAGCCACCCAGGCGTCCCTAAGAATCATTCTTTCTTTCTTTCTTTATTTTTTGAAGATTTTATTTATTTATTCATGAGAGAGAGAGAGAGGCAGAGGCAGAGGGAGAAGTAGGCTCCCCGCAGAGCAGGGAGCCCAACTCGGGGCTCGATCCTAGGACCCTGGGACCATGACCTGAGTCGAAGGCAGATGCTTAACCAACTGAGCCACCCAGGCGCCCCATCTTTTCACTTTCTTGATAATTTGCTTCGAAGCACAAATGTTTTTAGTTTTTATGATTACCAGTTTTGTCTATGTTTACTTATTTATTTATTTATTTTTTAAAGATTTTATTCCTTTTTTTTGAGAGAGTGAGCGAGAGAGAGAGAGCACAAGCAGGGGGAGCAGTAGAGGGAGAGGGAGAAGCAGGTTCCCCGTTAAGCAAGGAGCCCGATGCGGGACTCAATACCAGGACCCTGGGATCGTGACCTGAGCTGAAGGCAGACGCTTAATGACTGAGCCGCCCAGGCGCCCTGTTTTGTCTATATTTTTTTATTGCTTGTACTTTTGGTGTCATACCATCCTGCTGCCTTTTGCACAGATATGTTTTTCATGAGGCAACAGGAAGAGGGAATTTTCACGTATCCTTTTAAGTCCGTAAGTCCATAAGTCCCCTTGCCCTGTATGCTCTGCAGCTTGTGTGAAGCAGAACACGCCGCTGGATGCAGCTTATTCCGAGCTCTCCAGCCGCTCTCTGGCGCTTGGGAGGCTGGCACTTTACCCTGATTGAGAGCAGTCTCACTGTCATGATGGAGGGGACTTAGCACTCTCCCGTTTCTCCTCCTGGCCTGAGGGGAGGGGGCTCAGGACGCTCAGACTTGCTGCTTCCCCTTCTGCCCACTGTGGGAACGTCACAAACAGGAAATAGACATTTAAGGGCCCCTGGGTGGCTCAGATGGTTAAGCATCTGCCTTTGGCTCAGGTCATGATCCCAGGGTCCTGGGATCGAGTCCCGCATCGGGCTTCCTGCTCCTTGGGAGCCTGCTTCTCCCTCTGTTTCTGTCTCTCATGAATAAATAAATAAAATCTTAAAAAAAAAAAAAAAACAGGAAATAGACATTTAAATACAAGCTTTTAATTTTCTTTTGATAATAGTAGATGATATGATTATCATGGGGACAGATGTCCACCTCAAGGTGTTTTTGTTTTTTTAATTAACAGTGTCTGTTTACCAAATGGTCACCTTTTTTGGTGTGTATGTGACAAATTCAAAGAATAAAATATTCACCAGGAATTCATTCTAGGAATCCCTGGAATAGGCACATATTTCCTCTTCCTGAGAATAAAACGGAAACGAGTGTAGAGAGGTGTCACTCTGTCACCTCCTCTCTTCTCCCTTACGTCAGCAGGACAGATGTCCAGAGAAGCTACCAGAGTGAGGGTCTCACGGCTGACCTGTAACGACCAAGGACGCCCTGTGCCTAGGACTTCCCTTCCTGACCCTCTGTCCTCCTCCACCCTCTGTCTGCCTTCCGAGCTCATGCTCGCTCTGGCCTGTCACTTAGCTCCTCCTGAAAGGCTTGGCCTCACCCCTCCCACCACACCGCCTCCTGCCCTGAGCCCCGGATTGCCCCCTACTGGTTACCTACATTTTCTGCACGTGTTTGTTTCCACCTAAACTGGGCTCAGGAAGAGGGTTCTAGGCCCTCTGCCTCTGTCCAGACGGTTTAAGGCCTGGATGCTCCCCAGCCAGCCTTGGGGTCCAGTGCAGGCTCCGCCATGGGCTCCCGAGTCCACACTGCAGGGGACAGCTGGGATGCTGGTGTGGGGAGCAACGGCATTAAGCCAGAGACCGGAGACTGACAAATGTGTTTCCTTTCTGATCCACCTGCGGCTTCTGCTGGGTGCCTCTGCCCTTCTGCTTCCCTGCCCTCCTACCCTCCTTCCTAACGTTGCCCCTGAAACGGCCTCTCAGCTGCTGCAGCGACCCCTGGACATGGACACTGTCCAGCACGAGCTTCCCCGTGAGGTGGGCCAGGTGCACCTGGAGGTTTCAGAGCTGCGGAAGCAGGTGGCTGAGCTGGAGGAGCATCTCGGGAGCAGGCCGCAGTTGCAAGCCTTGGACAAGGTGGCCCCTGGGAAGGAGGTAGGTGTCCTGTGCCGATTGCTCCCACCACAGCTGTGCTGTCTGGGGCCTGCTGCAGAAGTCACCGGAATGGCCGTCTGCAGAGCCCTCCTGGGCCCCTGGGGTGCTGCGCCCCACTGTCCTCCACTTCCGCCTCGGCTGGCTTCCGTGGTCAGACCTGGTCTGTGGCCTCCGGGCCTTAGGATCCTGCCACTTAAAAGTCCAGCATAGGATGGGGCACCTGGTGGCTCAGTTGGTGAAGCGTCGACTCTTGGTTTCGGCTCAGGTCACGATTTCGCAGTCATGACATCAAACCCCGCGTCAGGTTCTGTGCTCAGTGGCGAGTCGGCTTGAGATTCTCTCTCTCTGCCCCTCCCCCCCTCAAAATAAAGAAACAAGTCTTAAAAAAAAAAAGTCCAGCGTGGGAACCACACGTATGAAGAGGGCTGTTCTGTTTCCTCTAAAAGGGAGTCCCTGACTCTTGCTGGGAGGGCCCTGAAACTGAGTGCAAAACTGGGTTTCTCCTTCGAGAGGACCCTTGTGGGGACTCTCCGAGTGTTTGAGGCTCCTACCCCCTCGCTCGTGACAGTGGGGCTTCCGTCCTGGTCCTGGCCCTCCGCACCTGGTTAGTCCCGCGGGCTCTGTGGCTGGTTCAAGCCATGGTTCTGAGCTGTGGAGAGAGCCCTGCAGCAGCCGTCCCCACGGATCGGACACACAGGCCACTTCTCTTCTTACGACGGCTGTGATGGAAATGCTGTTGAGCGCGCACTTTCTTACTCTGTCAGTTACCTGTGGTGACCTGGGTCACCTCTTATCTTTGGTGACCTGTGGTACCTGCAGTTACCCGTGGTGACCTGCAGTGACCTGTGTTACCCGTGGTGACTGCAGTGACCTGGGTTACCCATGGTGACCTATGGTGACCTGCGTGACCCACGGAGGCCTGCAGTTACAACTGTACCCTGGTGTCTGGGAGGCGTGGAGAGCTCTCTGGCAGCAGCGGTGTAGACATAGAAGGCGGTGCTGAGGGGCACCCGGGTGGCTCAGTCGGTTGGATGGCTGCCTTCGGCTCGGGTCCTGATCCTGGAGTCCTGGGATCGAGCCCCGCGTCAGGCTCCCTGCTCAGAGGGAAGCCTGCTTCTCCCTCTCCCTCTGCCTGCCACTCTGCCTACTTGTGCTCCCTCTCTCACTGTGTCTCTCTCTGTCAAATAAATAAATAAAATCTTAAAAAAAAAAAAAGGCCGAGGGGCGCCTGGGTGGCTCAGTCGTTAAGCGTCTGCCTTCAGCTCAGGTCATGATCCCAGGGTCCTGGGATCGAGCCCCTCATCGGGCTCCCTGCCCGGCGGGAAGCCTGCTTCTCCCTCTCCCTCTCCCCCTGCTTGTGCTCTCTCTCTCTTTCACTCACTCATTCTCTCTCTCAAATAAATAAAATCTTTAAAAAAATAAAGATTTGGGCGCCTGGGTGGCTCAGTCATTGAGCGTCTGCCTTCGGCTCAGGTCATGATCCTGGGGTCCTGGGATCGAGCCCCACATCGGGCTCCCTGCCCGGCGGGAAGCCTGCTTCTCCCTCTCCCTCTCCCCCTGCTTGTGCTCTCTCTCTCTTTCACTCACTCATTCTCTCTCTCAAATAAATAAAATCTTTAAAAAAATAAAGATTTGGGCGCCTGGGTGGCTCAGTCATTGAGCGTCTGCCTTCAGCTCAGGTCATGATCCCGGGGTCCTGGGATCGAGCCCCACATCGGGCTCCCTGCCCGGCGGGAAGCCTGCTTCTCTCTCTCCCTCTCCCCCTGCTTGTGCTCTCTCTCTTTTTCACTTGCTCATTCTCTCTCTCAAATAAATAAAATCTTTAAAAAAATAAAGATTTGGGCGCCTGGGTGGCTCAGTCGTTGAGCGTCTGCCTTCGGCTCAGGTCATGATCCCAGGGTCCTGGGATCGAGTCCCGCATCGGGCTCCCTACTCAGTGGAAAGCCTGCTTCTCCCTCTCCCACTTCCCCTGCTTGTGTTCTCTCTCTTGCTGTGTCTCTCTCTGTCAGATAAATAAATAAAATCTTTAAAAAAAAAAAAAAAGGCTGTGCTGAGAGGCACAAGAGGGACTTGGCTCTAGGATGCCGGCTGGCCCTGAAGGACTGGAGGGAAGGGGAGGTCCACTCCTCTCTGGCTCAGGAATGACAGGAGGGCCCGGACAGGCCTTGGGATGGACGGACGGGTGAAGAACAGCTGCAACGGGGAGGCCTTCAGGTCACCGGGAAGTGGGACCCAGAACCGCCTGCTCTGACCTTGAGCAGGCACCGCCTGGAGAGCCAGAACCCCGGCCCCGCGCCAGGCCTCCCTCCATCCTGCAGCTCAAGGATGCCATCCTGGCCATGGGGCCACAGAGCCACAGAGGCAGGCAGGCAGCACGTCTGCCTCACCCCGTGCCCACCGCTCATTCCAGGTGCTGCCCGTGCTCGGCCCCGAGGTCAGCAGCACTAGGAGTTCTGTTAACAGCCTGGTTCACAGATCCTGCTTGCTTAGAGGGAGGAAATCATGTGCGTCAGCCGGATTTAAAATCGAGATGTTTAATTCTGTGACTGACAGGCTGGAGCTGAAATGACTGTGACCTTGGGGAGAAATCCAGTGGCTGTCCCTGTGCCCAGACCAGGCCTACCGCAGGAGGGCCAGCACCTTGGCGGCCCAGGAGCCTTGAGCGCCAGCAGTGCCGAGATCCTGGTTTCTGAATTTCTTGCTCTGCTGAGAGGAAGCAGGATAAGGGGTTGGCTCCACCATGGACTCGTGGAAATGGGGCAGAAGGACGCAGGCACCGAAGGGCCCCAGGCATTGAACACACAATAAGCGGGACTCCCAGGTCTGTGCTGACCAGGAGAGGGAGGAGGGAAGAGGGCTGGTCCTTGGCCAGAACATCGTCTGCAGACATGGAGGGCGCGTACGCCAGGAAGCCATCCTAATGCACAAAGGAAAAGCAGGGCTGGGACTCAGTGCCTCCCACCGGTGGTGGCTCAGCTACGAGGGAAAAGAAAACTTTCCAGGCGCAGCCTGCGGACACCCTTCGCTGAGGGATGCCCTCGCGGACACTGCGGCAGGGCCATGTCCTGGGCTTCAGAGCCAGCTGTGCAGGGGGTGGGGGGGCGCAGCCTCACTGCTGACTCCGGCCACGAGTGACGCGCTGAAGTCGGAGGGTCCACACCCTGGAGAGAGTGCCCGTCAGGAGCCTGCAGGGACCAGGGAGGCAGATGTCCTGTGGGGTCCTGTGCCCTGGGCGGGAGAAACAAACTGTAGGACACAATTGGACAGTTGGTAAGGTTTGCGTGTGGCCCGTGTGTTGGGTCATAGTGTTGTATCTGGTAAATTTCTGGTTTTCGTAACTGTGGTTACAGAATGTCCATTTCTAGTAAGCATGACCTGAAGCATTGGGGTGTAAATGAGCACGATGTCTCTACCCTACTGGCCGTGGTTCAGGAAGAAATGCATATGGCGCGTGGGGCTGGTGGCGACGAAGCAGAGGGCAGTGCCCGGCAGCTCCTGTGCGAGTCGGACGCTCTCCCGGGTGGAGGTCGGTCCCCCACTCCCAAGCCCAGGACAAGGGCCCGTGCGGAACTCGGAGCCCCTTCCCCAGGGGGCAGCAGAGACCACTGCCCGACCGGCATCTGTCGTGTCTCCAGTGACCCCTAGCCTGGTGGACTGACTGAGACCCGGGGTTCTCCCTGCCTCCTGTCCAGTGCTCTGCCCAGTGCCCTGAGCACAGCAGGACAGACGCTGGGCTCCACTGGGGGGCAGTGTTCGCTAGCCCTGCCTGCACCCCTGGGAGCCTGCAGAAGGACTGGGAGCCCTAATGTCCACCGTGAGAGCCGGCAGCCCTGGCAAGCACTCTCTGCGCCCCCGAGTTGGGGCATGCTCTGACATCAGCCTCTGTGGAGTGCCGTCGCCGCTGCCCTTGGGAGCAGACCCCCCCTCATGAGGACCCCTCTACTGGCCAAGCCCTCCCTGGCCAGGATTCTGGGAGCAACCCCTGAGCAGGCGAGGGCAGACGGGGCCAGCATGGGGGGCCGCGGGGGCCCCAAAGCACGCAGTGGTTTGGGAGTCCCAGAATGCGTCCTGATGAGGGTTACATGGTGGGTGTGGGCAGAGAGGAGAAAGCCATCAAAGTAGTCGCATCAGGAACAGAGCCCCAGGTGGGGGCTCCTGGCTGCTATGCCCGCTCGCTGCCAGGTGACCAGGGCTCCCCGGCCAGCCGAGAGCCTGGCCACTGGCCCTGCTGAGGGGTCGGCTCCCCGCTCATGCCTCATGAGCTCATGCTCAGGGGCGCTGCCTTGTGGGCTGGGGTCTGCTCTCAGAAGCGACCTTTCTCTTGAGAGTCTCAGCATTCTGGGGTTTGCAGAGTATCTTTCCTCACTTAAAATGGCACAGGGGACTCCCAACATCGTGTTCCTGTGGAGGCCGGGCCTCCGACCTCCCTTCCTCGAGGTCTGTCCCAGCCCCTCCACAGGCCCAAGGACCACAGTCACGTCCTGGGCCCTCAGGAGAGTGCGGGCAAGGCCAGTGCCCTGCATGGTTGAGAGCAGGCCCATGTTCCGTCACGGGGCAATGGGGTCAGGATGTGGGTGCGGGGCTGTGCGGCCCCAGGGCCATCTCCCACTCTCCTGTTGCCTCACCTCCCCTGTCTCTCATCCTGCCCAACCAGCCTGCGGCACGTGCTGGACGCACCCCTGTGTGGCCACCGCCGCTCCAGGCCACCAGAAGAACTGTGGCCGCTGAGTACACGAGCACCTGCCAGCCCTAGAAAGGCATAGCAGGAAATGGGGCCAGGACAGAACGTGCTGGTCTGTTCCAGGGACTCCAGGCTGGCTCCTGTTCTGGCTGCAGCTCATGGGGCCAAGACAGGGCACAGTGCAGCTTTTCATGGGTGTCAGGAGCCACCCTGCCTAAGTAGGCCACACTTGCATCCCTTGGGGCCTTGGACTCCGGTTCCTCCTGGGCCTCTGTCCGGCACACACGTGTCTTCCTTTCTCTGATTCTCCACACCCCTCATTCTGAACACCCTGCAAGTCTGGGTGCGTGTCGGTGGGGCGGCCATGTGGTGACCCAGCACAGTGACCCCAGGCAGGCAGAAGTGTGGAGGCACTTGTGTCCGTCGGGCCTCTGCCGGCCCCTCCCACACCAGGTGACCCCAGGGCCTGTGACCCACGTGCCCAGCCCGTAACCCTGGTGCCACGCAGGTGTCCTGGGGGCCCGTTAGAAGTTGGGCATGGGTCCCAAGTGGTTCCTCATTGTCCTCACTAGAAAGACAGGCTTGGTGGGGGCCGCAAGGGGCCAGAAGCAGGCCTGGCCCGGGGCTTCGTGGCCTTCGTTCACCCAACTTGTGGAGGGGGAGGCGTCCGTGGTGTGAGGTCCCCGTCTCCTTGCCAAAGCACCTGCTCCTTATCCCTTGTCCCCCAGTGGTGCAGGCTCTGCGCCCACACCCACTCACCCTCTCCCACTTGGACGGTTTGTCTTAGGGGCTACCTGTGGCTTCGTTCACAGGTCCCTGCAGACCAAGGACCCACAGGGGCAGAGGACCAAGGGCCACAGCCACAACAGGCCTTGTCTGTGCCCCAACTCCAGAGGAAACTAAAGGAGGCAGCTCGAAAAATCCTCCGCCTCTGCCTGGAGAAAGAACAGCTCCTGGAGATGGGGAACAGGCTCCGTGCAGAGCTGGGCCACCATGCCCCAGGTGAGTTTGGGAGCTGCGACCTGCACTGCTGGGCTGTGGGGTCAGGGGGCCCAGGGGCCCTCCCAGAAGGGCTTTCTTCTTGCCTGCTCCTCTGGAAGGGGCAGGGGAGGGACCTAGGAGGCGGGACGAGAGGAGACTTGCTGCCCTGAGGGAGGGTCTGGCCTGACTTCTCAGGCAGGCAGGAGGGAGAACAGAAGCTGCCCTTGTGGAGTGAAGCCGGGGTCAGGAGTCACAGGCACAGAGCAGAGCTTCATCCTGCGATGGGAGTTCCATGAACCCGTGCCTCGGGCAGCATTTGTGAGAAAAATACTGCACTTAGCAAAACAGGCGGCATTTCTGTGCTGCATTGTGGGGAGCTGCGGCCGCCGTGTTCTCGGCCGGCTCTGCCTGGACTTGTCACCAACAGCCGCTGTGTGTCCCCTAGGACCCGGCCTGAGACCTCCAGCTGCCCACAGGTGTCTCAGAGGGCCCCGGTCCCCAAGGAAGACAGGCAGCGCTCCAACCAGACTAGAAAGAGGCGTGCCCTTGTTCCAGGCACGCAGGTCAGGCCCAGGCGGCCACGGAGGACACAGAAGCCCAGGGCTCTGTCGGCTGCAAGCTGTGCTCAGACTGACTGTCTTTGCCGATAATTTATTCAACGTGGGTTCACTGCGGGACTGACCATTTAAAATAGTAATATTTCACAAGCCAATAGCGTACAGGATACTGTCTCTTAATGAGCCAATAAGGAAATAGTACGCTCCGGATCAATGACCAATAATCACACTACTGTTCCACGCAAGGAGAGACAAATTTAGCTGAGGTGCACCTTTCTACCAGTGGCTTCTTGGAAGGGTCGGTGTAGTCATCCGTTGAAAGCAGGCATCCAGCTGCCGGCGTGAAGCCAAGGCCCCCGTTGCTAGGGGACCATAAGCACCAGTGTTGGTGGGCAAGATGAGTCCTTAATGGGGTGGCTGCCTGGTCGTCACCGCGGCCGGCCCAGATCGAACGCTCCCGGTGAGTGCCGAGGAGCGAGCCGCTGGCCACGTGGCTCTCAGACCACCTTCACAAGCAGCCCCCTCCTTTCCCTGTGGCGCCCCCGTTCCTCGCGCTGTAGCCCCTCGCCTTACGTGGCTTCTGCCTCTCCATGCTTTTCCAGCAAGAGCTTTGAGATACCGTGATGACCAGAGATGAGGGACTTCGGGCCCCACCCATGGTCGATGGGAGACAGCCATTCCCTCTCTCTTTGAGGGAATTGTCTAAAGTGGAGGGGTGCTGGGGGGCTGCAGACCCACCAACTTTAGAAGCTTTAGAAGCAGAGACCAGAGTGCCACAAAGGGAACACCAGCAAAAAATGCTTCCTCTCAGCTGTGGCCTTAGCTTCCCTGGGCAAGTCCCCCTGATTCCTAACTACCCAACGCGAGGAAAGGGAGGGGAGGGTTGGGCCTTGTGCTTCGTCCTCAGAACGTCCCACGGCCAAGCTGTGTGGATAATAATAGCAGTTTTTATCGTGTTAGTGTTTCTGGTCTGAATATGACGAGTAGAATGACCTGGTGAGTAGGAAGGGGAACGTGGGAGAACTCGGGCCGCAGAGCAGGAGGGAGTGCCATGTCTCAGAGGGAGGGTGCAGACCACTGAGGAAACCTGAAGAGGAGGCCTGTGTTCAGAGCTGTCGTGCTGGGGGCCGCTGTGGGCCAGGCCCAGGGGCCCAGGTGGTGCCTCCGTCCACCTGCCGGTGTTTCCAGCTGCTTCTGGGACGGGCCCCATCCTCACAGGGAGCTGGCAGTCCGGCCCCCTCACTGGCCTTGGCTCTAGCTGCCCAGTCCTCATCCCACGGGCTCTGCCCCCGGGGTCAGGCTCCCGTGCTGGCCCTGCCCCTCCCGCTCAGGACGGGCCTTGGGATCTGCACTGACAGATGGGCCAACGGTGTGTGGCCCTGTGGTCAGGCTGCCCCTGGCCCTCGGCCCGCTCCATCAGCCCAGCGTGGGGGGCACACAGGCTGTGGAGTGGCCCTCCTCTGAGGTGGAGACTGCACACACCCACTGTGGGGCCCCTCCCTTCGTGCCGTCCTCCTGCCAACTCTGCTTCTCCCAGAAACCCCAGCTGCACCCACCATCTGGATCTCATGTGAAGCCAGCGTTCCTCAAAAGGTCATTGCCAAGGTCCTAACATCGAACACTGTTGTAAAGACTTTGTGTTTTAGAGCAGTTTTAGGTTCGCACCAAAACTGTCGGGAAGGTACAGAGATGTCCCCCCAGCCTCCCGCGATCGACATCCCACCACAGTGGTGCGTTGATCACGATCCACAAACCTCCCCGACGCACCGTCAGCACCAGGGTCCATGCTTACCTCTGGGTCTTCTTGGTGCTGGACATCGTACGGGTTGGGACAGACGTGTCACCACACGTATGCACCACGGGACTGTAGTTTCACTAGAAACCTCTGTGCTCCGCCTGCGTATTCCCCCCCCCCCCCGGCGGCCACTGACCCTCACTGTCTCTGTGGTTCTGCCTTCCCCCCATGTCGCATAGCTGGAATCATGCCGCAAGGAGCCTTTTGTGTTTCCTCATCATGTCATTTTCCTGATGAAGTTTTTGTTCATCAAGAAATGATTTGGGGGGCGCCTGGGTGGCTCAGTCAGTGAAGCGTCCTGGGGTCCTGGGATCGAGCCCCGCATCTGGCTCCCTGCTCGGCGGGGAGCCTGCTTCTCCCTCTGCCTCTGCTGCTCCCCCAGCTGTGGTCTCTCTCTCTCAAATAAATAAAATCTTAAAAAAAAAAAAACCAAACAGATTAGGGACCTAGCTTTAATTAGGTTGCTAACCCAACTACTTATTAGGCATGTGCACATAAATACCAAAATCGTTATTTACATTTATTATTCATAATTACACATGCATCTAAAATCCTGTTGTAAAACTATCCTAATGTAGAAGCAGTGATTTTCAGTCATGTTGTGTGTCCTGCTTGACTCGACTCGTGCTGGGCTGGGTCTTAGACCCCTGCACCCCCCATGGGACTGGCGCGGGGGCAGAGCATGCGTTTGTCATCATCAAATGATTGTATTTTGACCACTTTCTAGAACGATGGCTTGGTTGCAACAAGAACCTAATGCTCGCATTTTCTTGCAACCTTTCTTAAAGTGAATGTCCCAGTGTCCTCAGAGAAATTGGCCCTCGGTCAGAGCCCCATCCTTGGGGAGGGCCTCCCTTTTCTCTCTGGCTGCCTTTCTCCTGTGTTACCAGCCGGTATCTGGACGGGATCAGTTTGCCTTAATTTAACCCGCTCAGGAATTGGTTGGTTTTCTGAAATCTTAAGACTTATGGTTGGTTGGTTGTTTTTCCCATTCTTTGAAATTCTCAGCCATTGTTTCTTTAAGTACTCTTCTTCCCATTTGTTTCTGATCTCTTCTGGAGATGGATCTCATTAGACCTACTGGAAATCTATCCTCTCCCTACCTCTCTCGCCGCCTCCTCTCCTGCCTCCCGGGGGTGCCCCAAAAGTAACTGGAGCCAGTGGATGGATTTCTGTGTCTTTACAAGGAGTTTACATTTTGTGTTTGTTCATTCCTTTCCTTGGGTTTCATTGTTCTTTTGCTGATTTCTTTAACATTTACTTTATTCTTTCTTGTTTAGTGATTGCATTTTTTTAAGGTGTGAATTTTCCACCTGAGTATTGCTTTGGCCGTGTGTCAGGTTTTCAGGGACAGTATTAACAGTATTCCAGATAATCGGCCATTATGCACCCAGGTTTTCTATTTCTTTTTTTTTTTTTAAGATTTTTATTTTATTCATTTAACAGAGATAGAGAGCACAAGTAGGCAGAGCGGCAGGCAGTGGGAGAGGGAGAAGCAGGCTTCTCGCCGAGCAGGGAGCCTGATGCGGGGCTTGATCCCAGGACCCTGGGATCATGACCTGAGCCGAAGGCAGACGCTTAACGACTGAGCCACCCAGGCGCCCCCCAGGTTTTCTATTTCATTCGAGTTGTTTAGGAGAGTTTTAGAATTATTTAGTTATTTTTGTTTGTTCAGTTATTTTTAAACACGTGTGGAATCTGTTCTGTTAAGCCTCCTTATTATACATACTTACATTCTTTCTAAATTTATGTGTGTTTGTCAACTTGAACTGCCAAGAACCATGATTTCTGTGTTAAAATCTTGCCACGGCTCTTGTATTTCTGCCCCGCTCCCCTTCCCTTCTTCCTGGGCTGTCACTTGGTGGGGAAGCGCCCACGGCGGCCGCAGCTCAGCCTGGTTCAGGTTGTGCGCCGTCCTTTCCGATGTTCAGTAACAGCTAGTGGTATTTTTAATCAGGTGTTTAAAAGGGTTGTTTCCAGAAAGAGGTAAAATATGGCTCAAATAGCTATGAAAATGGGCACAGGCTTAGGATTTTCTTCTGTTACTTAAGCAGTGAGGGAACCAGTCAGATGTTACAACCAGTTCCAAGGAAAAGCCCAAACACAAATTTATCCGGAACAAAGGAACTGAATTACAAATGGAAACTGAACTGGTTTTTCTAAGCGGGAGGGGGTCAGCGGTGATACTTGGAGGGACAAGGCACAAAGCGCGTGCCCGTCAGTGTGCAGAGGTGCAGCGTAGTTCAGACCCGGGGGGCGGCCCCGCGGGTCCAAGGACGTGCTGCCCACAGTGCAGTTTCCATTGAAGCACGCATTGCTTCTGACCCTTTCTCTGCTTTTGGTAAAACCTAATCTCAAAGAAGGATTATTCGTGATCGCTAACAAGGCTGGTCTGTTGGCCTGATTATTTCCATAGGTGTAGCAAGAATGTTAGTTCACCCAGCGGGCCTTCCTGAGTTTGCTTTGCTGGAAGTTTCCGTCGGGAGTCCACATTGGACTTTAAAAGTGTCCTGAGGCCAGGAAGCCAAGAACTCACCAGATTTCATCTGCTGGATGATTTTGAGCAAATTCTTTTCTTCTCAAGGTTTCAGAAATACCCTGAGCTCCCAGGCTTGCCAGGGGCGGCCTTCCTAGCTCACAGCTCCTGCTGGTGACCTGTCCTCACAACTACGTGAGGGTCATTCTTGACTCTGGCCAGGTAGGCAGGGCTCTGGCTGCACCATCCATGTGTCCAGTGAAGTCCTGGTTAAAAGCAGCACAGATTCTCAGGGAACCTGTGCAAATAAATGACCGTACTACCAAGAAGGGTTAAGAAACAAAGTCCAGCCGGGTAAATGTGTAGATCTAATTGGTTTTTATTAAGTGATTCATGAATCAGGCGGCATCCCATGTAGCAAGTGGAGGGAGCTCCTCAGAGCTGTACAAAATGGAAGGTTTTTATAGGAAGGAGGATAGGGGCAAGAAGTTATTAGCAAAAGAACGGGATTGTTTAAGGCAAGATCACCTTCCCTTACAGGTAAGGGCCGGAGTCTTCTCTGGCCGAGGACCTCTTCTTCCTGTGGGGGTGGGGAGGACCCAGCAGCAGACTCTGCTTATTGGAGAAGCCCTGAGAAGCAGTTATGACTGCGCTTCTGGGGGAGCTTGAAATGCAGCTGGTCAGGCATGAAGCCCTGGTTTGGGATGCGACCTAAGTAATGCCACTTTGGGCCTGTGATTTGTGCTTTTTTTTTTTTTCTTTTTTTTAAATCAACATATGGTGGTTGCTTTATTTAATTTTTCACCTTAAAGACAGCAGGGACGCCTGGGTGGCTCAGTCTGGTTAAACGTCTGCCTTCAGCTCAGGTCATGATCCCGGGGTCCTGGGATCGAGCCCTACGTCGGGCTCCCTGCTCAGCGGGAAGCCTGCTTCTCCCTCTCCTGCTCCCCCTGCTTGTGTTCCCTCTCTCACTGTGTCTCTCTGTCAAATAAATAAAATCTTAAAAAAAATAAAGACAACACCAAAATCAAAACCTTTGAACTTACACTTTTCAACCTGAAAGAAACAAAGAATAGCTACAATTCTAAAATAGCATTAGTAAAGCCAGTATTATTCTTATGAGTATCAATGGGCCATTCTGAAACAAGGTAAAATATAAATATCTTACTCTGTGCTTAATCTGAAGTGTTGCCACTGAAATCAATTACCAACCTATGAAGATTGCAGACTCAAAGCTGATAATGGTTATTCAAAACTAAATTTATGGAATACCCAGGAAATAGGCTGAATTGGAACCTGCAGACAGTTTTCAAATACTCATTAGCAACAATTTTTTAAAGACATAGAATGCTATTGTTTTCATATAAATTGGAAGTTTTAAAATCATCTCCCTTTTGTGCTTTCAGTTGTCGTATGGCCATAAACCAAAGACCCAAATAATTTCAAATGATCACAGATACTGTTTAGGCAAAAGTTGTCATGGGTCAGTACTTTTAATGTTGTATACATCAAATTATAGTAAAAAGATGACCATAAACAAGATGCAGCCCCTGTATTTTCACGAACGGCACAATAGATTATAGGAAACTGAGTTTATATTCCACCATCAAGTCTGGTTCTCCCATTAGTTCACTTTGTGACTGCTCATTAAGAATATCTTCACATCCAGGGCGCCTGGGTGGCTCAGTCGTTACGCGTCTGCCTTCGGCTCAGGTCATGATCCCAGGGTCCTGGGATCGAGTCCCACATCGGGCTCCCTGCTCGGCAGGAAGCCTGCTTCTCGCTCTCCCACTCCCCCTGCTTGTGTTCCTGCTCTCGCTATCTCTCTCTCTGTCAAATAAATAAATAAAATCTTAAAAAAAAAAAAAAAAAGAATACCTTCACATCCAATAGTCTCATCATTACCCCTGAAAATACCCAGTGAAAGGTTTGAGCTCGGAAGAAATGGAAGACCCTGAGCCTGTTGCTCTGCCTTGAATTCCATTTGTAATTTTATTTAATTAATTTATTTATTTTTAAAGATTTTATTTATTTGAGAGAGAGAGTGCACAAGCAGGGGGAGCGGCAGAGGGAGAGGGAGAAGCAGGCTTCCCGCTGAGCAGGGAGCCCGATGCGGGACTCGATTCCAGGACCCTGGGATCATGACCTGAGCTGAAGGCAGACATTTGACCTTTTGGTCAAATGGGTACCCAGGTGCCCCTCCATTTGTAATTTTAGTGGAAAAATTCATTTTATCTTGTTTGAGCTGGAACTTTTTTTCTGATAATTCAAGATGATGACTGGGCAGAAGTTCATTTTTCACACAAGGCCTTTTTGAAGAAGATCATGACTTTCAGAAGATCTGCTTGCTGAGAGTTCAGTAACTGGAATACCGTCCCTTAGCTGTGGCCCACGGCCTCTGGCGTTCATCTTCAACTCGCTTGACAGACCCTTGCAGCCCCTCACCAGCCAGCCCGCTGCTAACTTCCGCTTCTGGGGATGCCTCCTGTGAGTTGCTTTTTCACAAAAGTTGCTGAGTTCTGGAAGACTTAGGGAGACAAGAAGATGCCGCTTAGAAATGCTTCCCTTCAGTTTACAGAAGCAGAGGCCTCTCGGGTTTTAGATGACAGCGGCCAAGAGGAAGGGGAAAGGGCCCTTCCATACCTAGGAAGTCGCGCATTCAGACTTCTACACGTGTCCTCGGTGACGGATTCGTGATCCATTTGGTTTGGTTTCTGGTCAGAGGAGTGCACGTTCTTCTGACTGGAGCTCTGGAAATCCTGCCTCAGAGTGGGCAGAGCGGTGCTCTCAGAGGCTGTAGCCACACGTTCCATGACCCGCCGGGGGTGCCCGAAACCGCGACGGTGCCAGACCCTGTGTGTACCTCGTTTCTCCTAGACATGCTTACCCATGGTAACGTTTATAAATTGGGTGCAGGAAGAGGCTCACAATAGCTAATAATGAAATAGAGCAACGATAGCAATATGTTGTAAATAAAGTTCTGTGACTGGGGTCTCTCAAAATCATCGCAATGAGCTGTACCCCCCTTTGTTGCAACGCTGTGAGATGAAGTGCCTACGTGACGGGAGGAGGGAGGGGAGTGATGTGGGCCTGTGGCATCGGGTGAGGCTACTGCTGACCTGACTGTGGGGCAGGTGCAGGATCGTCTGTTCGCAGACCGCGGTCGTCCGCGAGTAGCTGGGACCACAGCTCGTAAACGGTCCTTGCACACTGTCCTCACTGCAGAGCTTTCTCTCTTGTCTCTTTCTTCCCCCTCCACTTCTTTCTTTTCATCAAAGTAAAACTTTTCCCACAGCAACTGCAACATTTTGCTTTCCCACCAGCAATGTACGAGGGTTCTGATGTCTCCACATCCCTGGCAACACTTACTTTCTGTCTTTTTTCTTCTGTCCATCCTAACAAGTGCAAAGTGGTATCTCACTGTGATTTTGATTTTGCATTTCCCTGATGACTAATGGTGTTGACCACCTTTCCATGAGCTTGTTGGCCATTTGTGTATCTCCAGATTCCATAGCTTTTAAGCTCAGGTATTAAAAACTAAGGAAAATAAATTCATTTCCAAATTTTGCCTTTCCCATGTCCTTTTATCTCCTGCAAAAAAACTGACATAGTACTTTAGGACCCATCCCAGGAGGTCCATGGGGGCAGAACTAATTTCGTAACTACCCAGATGTTAACATGCAGTGTAGTAGATGTAGAAGATGGTAGATGTAGTAGATGTAGTAGAAGATGGTAGATGCACCACCATCTTCAAGTGAATGTAATATAAGGTTTTAAAAATTTTGTTTCAGTACATACAGTACGTAATTAAGTACATATCAGTACTAATACAGTTCATATCATTATTTACAACTCATATACACAAAAACCTCATTGGAGTCCTCAGTAGGCTTGTGTTTAACCAAGTAGATTCATTCTGAGAAATGTTATATCAACAGTAATTGCATCTTGTAGTATGTGAGCTTAAAGATTAATTTCCAAGATTTGTAGGTAACTTAACCCAAACTGAGTTAATGAACGAGTATTCCTTGGCTGCCTAGATCTTTCTAAGTAAGACAGGATGCTGAAGCATCTCTTACAAGCAGAATCTTTAAGTTTATTCACTTAACCTTCTGCTGCTTACTTTTCTGTGCTGCAGAGAGGGTATATCTTTGGGTCTGTTAGTGAACGTGTTGGTTAACGGCGCTTTGAGAAGGTGTGTCCAGAGTTGTGCGTGAGAGGCCCTGCACTCTGCAGTCACAACAGCTCGTGGCGTCTCCCCTACGCACACTGCAAGAGAGGGCTGACTGGTGTAGGCAGGAACGGGCTGTGCTTCTGCAGTGTTTGTGTTTGGCACCAGGGACATCAGGAAGCGAGGTGCACACAGAAAGCAAACCGTTCCAGAGCCCGGCTGTCTCGGTCGGTGGAGCATGTAACTCCTGGTCTCAGGGATGTGAGTTCAAGCCCACGCTGGGGGGCATAGAGCTGACTTTTTAAAAAAGCAAAAAGGAAAAAAAAGAAAAAGCAAATCCTTTCCTCCTCTTGTTTCTAGGGAAACCGCCTCGTCACCCTCTGCCCACCCCTGAGGCCCAGAACATGAGTGTCGCACCTGAGGCCCCTTTGGGACAGTTGCAACCCCATTCTGCAGCTCAGGTAATACTCCTTTATCTAAGAAATATACTTCTAATAACTGTTTACTAATCACTTAAGTATTGTATTTCATTTCCAAAATGTAAAATCCAGTAAACACAATTGAAAAGGCTTCCAATTTTCAGCACCCAAGCATGGTTACTAGTAACATCTCAGTGTGTTTCCTGCTGGGGTTGTTTTGGGGGGTTTTTTTTAGATTTTATTTATTTATTTGACAGAGAGAGACACAGCGAGAGAGGGAACACAAGCAGGGGGAGCGGGAGAGGGAGAAACAGGTCTCCCATTGAGCAGGAAACCCGACGCGGGGCTCGATCCCAGGACCCCGGGATCATGACCTGAGCCAAAGGCAGACGCTTAACGTAATAGCAGGCGCCCCCTGCTATTTTTTTTTTTTTAAGATTTATTTATTTTAGAGAGAGAGGGAAAGAGGGAAGGGCAGAGGGAGAGGAAGAGAGAGAATCTCAGGCAGACTCCCCGCTGAGTGCGGAGCCCGATGTGGGGCTCAATCTCCCGACCCTGAGATCATGCCCTGAGCTGAAACCAAAAGTCAGATGCTTAACCAGGCCACCCAGACACCCCTCCTGCTGTTTTTTTTTTTTTAATTACCTAAGTAAATAATAAATATAAAATTACAAATTACATCATATGTATGTTTTACTGTTGCTTTACCACCTGAGTATTACTTTTTTTAAAGATTTTATTTATTTATTTGAGAGAGAGAGAAAGCACACACACACAGAGGGAGAGGGAGAAGCAGACTCCCCCCTGAGCAGGGAGTGCAGTGCAGGGCTGGATCCCAGGACCCTGAGATCATGACCTGAGCTGAAGGCAGATGCTTAACGACTGAACCACCCAGGCCCCTTATTTTTCAAATCTTTACCAATATGATGGGTTAAAAAAATTTCATCTTTTAGAAGTTTCTTGTATTCTTAGTGGTATTAAAGTCTGTAATCTATTTATTGGCCATATATATTTCTTTTTTTGTGGGTTATTTATACACATGCTTTGCTAATTTTTCTACTTGTGTGTTTGTACTTACTAGTTTTTAAGAGTTCCTTATAAATGAAGGAACTGCTGCTTGTCCATTATAACCTTTCCCAGACTTGTCATTTGCCTTTAGCCTTTCTTTGTTTTCTTAATCCACAGATAACTTTTTTTAATGTAATGAATTCTGTCAGTCTACTTTAATGATTTATTTCACTGTGTTTTTTCTCTATTCCGAGTTTAGGTAAATATCCACCCATTTCTTCTAGCTGTTCTGTTTCACTGTCATAATACCCATAAGTAATTATCCTCCTTTTTCTCAGTGATTTTGAATTGATTTGTTTTATCATGTGCTAAACATCTAAACTCTTGCTTATGTCTTTTTCAAATTAATTTTTTATTTTGAAATAATTTCAAATTTACACAAAGTGGCAAAAATAGCACTGTACCCTTTACCTCGACTCACCAGTTGTTAACTGATCACTACATTTGCTTTGCCATTCTTTCTCTTCCCTCCCTCTGCCTCCCCCACATTATAGATAGATAGATAGATAGATAGATAGATAGATAGATAGATAGATAGATAGGTAGATGATGGCTGATGGGTGGATGGATGGTTGGTTGGATAGGTGGATGATGGATGGATGGATGGTTGGATAGGTGGATGGATAGATGGATGGTTGGATGGATGGATAGGTGGGTGGGTGGATGGATGGATGGATGGATAAGTGGATGGATGGATGGATGGATGGATGGGTGGATGGGTGGATGGGTGGTGGATGGATGGAAGGGTGTGTGGGTGGGTGATAGATGAATGGGTGAATGGATAAATAAATGGGTAGGTGGATGGGTGGATAGGTGGATGGATGGATGGATAGGTGGATGGATAGATGGATGGGTGGATGAGTGGGTGGTGGATGGATGGGTGAATGGATAAATAGATGGGTGGGTGGATGGGTGGACAGGTGGGTGGATGGGTGGATAAATGGATGGATGGATGGATGGATGGATGGATGGATGGATAGGTGGATGGATAGGTGGATGAATGATAGGTAGACACACACACACAGTCAGACAACTTTGTTCCTGGACCAGCTGAGAGTAAGTTGCAGACATCGAGCCCCTTTATGTCTGAAAACAAAGACTCCTCCCAACATTATGAAAATCAGGAAACATGACTATGGTCCTAGAATTTAATACATATTGTAAACTCAGATTTTGTGAGTCACAAGTCCAGGACCCACATTGCCTGCAGCGCTTGCACACCTACACGTGTGTGTGGCTGTGTGTGTATGGACATGCATGTGGGGGTTGCACGAGTAGTAAGTTTGTGCACGTGTGCGTGCAAGCATGGGCATAGGTGTGCGTGTGGGCATCTCCTTCACCCCAGAATGAGTCTTCTGACCTTGTCTGTCCTTCACAATGCTGACGTTTTAGAAGAGCCAGGCCCGTGTTTGGCAGACCACGGGGTGGCACCTCTGCATTTTCAGGTTTGGATCTGTATTTATTTTCTTTTTTCTTTTTTTTTTTTTAAAGATTTTATTTATTTATTTGACAGAGACACAGCGAGAGAGGGAACACAAGCAGGGGGAGTGGGAGAGGGAGAAGCAGGCTTCCCGCAGAGCAGGAGCCCGATGCGGGGCTCGATCCCAGGACTCTGGGGTCGTGACCTGAGCCGAAGGCAGACGCTCAACGACTGAGCCACCCAGGCGCCCCTAGAAATATTATTTTTTTAAAGATTTTATTTGACAGAGAGCAGGAACACAAGCAGGGGGAGCAGGAGAGGGAGAAGCAGGCTTCCCGCGGAGCAGGGAGCCCGATGCGGGGCTCGATCCCAGGACTCTGGGATCGTGACCTGAGCCGAAGGCAGACGCTTAACGACTGAGCCACCCAGGCGCCCCCTGTATTTATTTTCTACACAGCTCCAGTGAAGGGTGCTTTCCCCAGCTGGGGCTGTCCTGCTCTAAATAACATACCTTTGCAGGGGCACCTGGGGGGCTCAGTCGTTTAAGCAGCTGACTCATGGTTTCTGTTCAGGTCGTGATCTCAGGTTGTGGGATCAAGCAAGGAGTCTGCTTAGGACTCTCTCTCCTTCTCTCTCTGCCCCTCCCCTTGCTCATGGTTTCTCTCTCTCTCTCTCTCAAATAAATAAATAAAATCTTAAAAAAAAAAACATACCTTTGTAATATTTTTAATATATTACAAATACATATAATAAGGTTGCTCTTGTTTATCTTCCTTTACAAAAATTTCTTAGCTGTTCATCCCATTTGATCTTTACTAGGTGAATACTGTCTTTTATGTATTTTTATTATAAATATTTTTAGACTTCTAAGAAGGTACAAAGACTAATATGATATACACCATCCAACTTAATAAACAAAATGTTATAAAGTCAAAACCCCTTTGAGAGTTCTACCCCTACATCCCCCCTTCAGACTTTCCTGAGTCTGGTGTTTCTCTTCTCAGATATTTAAAAATCTGTATACATCACATCCGGGGGTTGTGTATATATCTTTCTGCAGAGCGCTTTCATTCCACATTGTGCTTCTGGGATGTATCGATGCGATATATGGAGAGCAGCTACGTCAGGCCACAGCTTTAGGGCCCCCCCGTTCCACAGGTGGTACGTGAGTAGATGGGCCTGGATATGCTCCAGGAAAACCCAATAGATCAGAAAGGTCAATCTCATATAGTCTTCAGGTCATGAAACATTCTTCTTTTGATTTTTTCAACTATTTAAAAACGTAAAAACTACTTTTCGCTCATGGGCTGTACAGAAGGAGGTGGGCAGGATTTGGCCTCTGCCAGGTGTGGCTTGGCAAGCCCAGGTCTAGACACCAGTTTGTGCATATTCTTTCCATTGTATAAATACATCAACATTGGCTCATCCATTCTTCTCTCAGTGGGCATTTTGGCTATTTTTTGCTGTAAACATTGTTATGAAAGTTGTCTGGTGCACACATATCAGCATCCCACCAGATGGTGTGTCTGTCACACTGAGGAGCCCGCACGGACCCAGGATCATCACCCAGAGCCCAGGGCGTACGTGAGGGCTCGCGCTCACTGCTGTGTGTTCTACGGGTTTGCACAGATGTATAATGACACTCGTCCACCCTCGTGTCTCACACAGAGCAGTTTCACTGTCCTAAAATTCCTCTGCGCTCTGTTCACCCTCCCCCCTTTCCAGTTCTATCCTTGGTACCAATTGATCTTCTTACTGCCTCACAGTTCTGCCGTTTCCCCCGAATGTCACGGGGTTGGAATCAGAGGCCATGTAGCCTTTTCCAGATTGGCTCCTTTCTCCTGGTGATACGCATCTACGTTTCCTCCACATCTTTCCGTGGTCTGAAAGCTCCCTTCTTATTGCTGGACGGCATTCTGTTTGATGACTGTACCAGTTTGTTTATCTCGAGGATCTCTTTAAGCTTACATTTTCTAGCTATTGCAGGCAATTGGAGCATAGTTGGCTTTTACCAAATGTTTTATAACTAGCAACTCCACAGAACTGATTAGCGCTAATACGTGTGGCAGCCATTTTCCCGGGTTCTCTGTGCGAATGGTGAGCGTCTGTGGTGAGGGTCAGGCTCCTCCCCTCACGGTCCTGTCTCATGCTGCTGTCCTGGCCAGGACTCCCATGCACCACAGAGAACAGGGTCATCCACACCTTTGTCCTGATTTATAGAATGCTTTTTTTCTTTTTTTTTTTTTGGTAAAGGTTTTATTTTTTATAGCAATCTCTACATGCACCGTGGGGCTCAAACTCACAATCCCAAGATCAGGAGTCACACGCTCCCCCGACTGAGCCAGCCGGGTGCCCCAAATGCTTTTTGCATTTTATCTTCAAGTAGGAAGTTTGCTGTAGGCTTGGGTGTTAAGTTGGGTCCTACAAAATTGCCATTTTTGTAAGTCAAAAGTGGTTAAGCATCAGCAATTTCATATGGTTTGACCTCATTCAGACCCTTCATCAGTTTAAAGTTCTTTCTCCTCCTGCTGTACTGAGTTTTTACCCAGAACAGGTGCCGAGTTCTGTCTGCTGGCACTTCTGACGACCACAACCGGGGTCCCGGCCGGCAGGATGCCGCTGTCCTTCCACGGAGGCCATGCCCTCCGCTGCGCTGCCTTTAGATTTCTGTTCTTCACAAGCCTGTCCACACGACTAGACGCTTCCGCCTGTAATTAACTGAGGAAAAGTAGCGAGCACGTGTCTTGGTGCCGTGCCTCACTACGCCTGTGTGCAGCGTCTCATTCACCAACACTCAGTTTCCTTGGAGGATGTGGGAGTTCTATAGCCTTGAGACCAATCCCTATCCGCCCATGTTCTGCAAGAGTCTCCAGTGTATGGCTTGCCTTTTCAGTTTGTTTAAAGTAAGAGAACGCCAGCTGGGAGATGGATGGCCTGTTCCCCCAGGGGTGACGTGAGCCCCAAGGTGGCCCTAGCGAGGTAGCAATGCTCAGGCTCTGCGCTGACCCGGGGGCCCGGGTAAGGGGTGGGCGGCCAGCGAGGAGAAGCGTCACATCTGGAGACAGCTGAAGCCAGAATTCGCTGTGGGATGGATTTGGATTGTGGGAGAGGGAAGGAGCCCAGGCTTGAGGCCTGGCTGCTGGGTGGGAGGAGGCGAGCGGCGGCCTGGGACTGGCGATGCCTGGACTGCCCTGCTACCATGTCCGTCAGGCACACACCTCCTGGGGCTGGGGGGCTTCCGCTGGGCCTCAACACAAGCCCGTGGCAAACGGCAGGGTCTGCCTCACGGGACGGCAGGGATGGCAGGGACAGTGGGGAGAGCACCAGGGCACCCGGAATGGGTGTGTGGGAGAGGCCTGCACGATTGTCTGCCCAACGAGGAAACGCTGGCCTGAGAAACGGCACAGGGCCGGCCACAGAAAGGGGGCTGAAGACCATGGCGTTTTCCACCAGAGGACCCCCTCCCCTGCACGACCCCTTCACCACTTGTGGGAAATGCTGTTAAAGCATTGAAGTACCTAGCTATTCATAACTTTCAAATCACCTGCATTGATTAAAGTTCTAAATATGTGTTATTAGAAGAAAATCTCCCAAGTTGTCGAATAAATGTGCCTATTATCTGTCACAGTAAAACGTGCATATTATGACTTGGACCTCCACTTCTTTCTAGTACATTAAATATTGCATTACACTTTATTAATCTCCTTCAAACTACAGAACTACCATGGCTTTGTTACATCCAGTGAAATGCCTCCTTTCTTAAAACTTGAGAAAAGACGACTCCATGAGGCCCGCTTTTTTAACCAATAGATAAAAAAGCAAAGGATATGATCAGAAACTATGGAGGAAGGGCACCTGGGTGGCTCAGTCGGTTAAGTGGCTGACTCTTGATTACGGCTCAGGTCGTGATCTCAGGGTCCTGGGATCGAGCCCTGAGTCGGGCTCCCCGCTCAGTGCGGAATCTGCTTGAGACTCTCTCTGTCCCTCTGCGCATCCCATTCCTGCTCGCTCGCTCTCTCTCTCTCTCAAGTCAGTAAATCTTTTAAAAAGAAAAAGAAAAGAAACCCTGGAGGAAGAAACTCAGTCAGTCAACAAACATGAAAAGCCCATTTATCATCACTGCTGCCCCAGGGGCTGTAAGTTAAAATAAAAAAATATGCATGGGGGCGCCTGGGTGGCTCAGTCGTTAAGCATCTGCCTTCGGCTCAGGTCATGATCCCAGGGTCCTGGGATCGAGCCCCACATCGGGCTCCCTGCTCGGCGGGAAGCCTGCTTCTCCCTCTCCCGCTCCCCCTGCTTGTGTTGCCTCTCTCGCTGTGTCTCTCCCTCTCTCTGTCAAATAAATAAATAAAATCTTTAAAAAATATATGCATGCATTACTCAGTTGAATTCAAATATTAATTAAACTAGAGCAGAGAAGAGCAGTGCAGTGGGTGTGAATGTTCTCTGGGGCTCCGGGAAGAGGCTGGTGGGTCTGGCCGGGCCCTCCCTGCGAGTGGCCCACTGCTCAGGCTCTGCCCTCGTCCAGCTGCTTGTAATGCTTACATTTTCTTCCATGTTCCCGTTCAGTGCCTCTTAAGACTCCTTACGTTCCCCTCTGACTGCTCTCAGGCAGGCGTCCCCACAGAGGGAGGGTGGAAGGCCGTTCAGGCTGCAGGGGCCTGCCAGCAAACTGAGAGGCACGGGGGGTCAGGCTCAGGGCTCCCTCCCCTGATGCTGAGAAGGGGTCTGTGTGATGCTGGGGTGCTTGGTCTCCTGAAGGCCGGGAGGGGCACTCAGGTGGACACTGTTCTTCCTGGCTGGTGGACACGACCATGCCCCTCCCTTCTGGCCGGCTACCAACTTGAGCGAGTCCCTGATACTGGAAATTTGGGGAGAGCGTTTCTTCCTCATCTGGAGGGAGACCTCGGTAACACACCCCATCGGTGACCCGCCGACACTGAATTCCTTCTGTCCGCGTTTTCACGGCAGGACTCAGAACACCAAGAAGAAACGTGTCTCTGAATGCTCGGGGAAGGCCCAGCCCCGCTCGGCCCAGACGGTGGGGAGAAGCGGTCCTCCTCGGGGCTGGACGGCCGGGGCTAGGGCCGGGGCCGGGGCGGGGCAGGTAGGGCAGGGCTGCTTGTGCTGGGGACGCCGTGTGCTGGGGACACCGTGCCACCATGGGAAGCTGAGTGCTGGGAGTCCTAGCAGGTGGCTGTTGCCCGGCAGCACCAGCCGCTTCTCTTGGGATGGCGGATTCTGCTCTTGTGCCTTCACGGAGTGGGTCGGCCCGGGGCCCTGGGGGCATGGGCAGACACGGGCTCCAGCGTGGGCCTTGGCACAGCCGGAGAGGCGTGTTTTGGGGCATTTGCCCTTCTTTCCAAGGAGACCAGACTGCCTTTGCCTTACACGTTGCTTTGTCCTTCCAGTGTCCGTGGGAACCCCAGCTGGTCGGGCACCGGGCACCGGCCAGCCAGTGTGCCTAGGAGCGCGGGCCTGTCCCCAGGGCCTCTGCGAGATGGTCCCTGAAGCCTCACCCCAAGGCCTGTCTTTGGGCCATGCCCACCGCCTTGTCACTTACTCCGGGGACAGCAGAGCAGGGCTCTCAGGGATCATTGTGTCTTTTTTTACTTTCATAGAGGCAACACAGAATCTCTACAGTGACTTGCAGATCAACTCGGCACAAAGAAAACCGGTCCCCAAAGCCACGCCCAGCTCAAGAATTCCACAGGGAAAGTGGGCACCGCACCAGAAGCTCCTCATCAGCGGCCAGCGGTCCCCTCCAGGACACGTGGAAGTTACTGGACCTGGGATCCAGCCCCTCTGGCCTCACCTCCCAGGACGACTCTGCACCAGGTAGGCTGGGGCCAGGGCTGTGGGGTCCCAAACAGGCCAGGCTCAGCCAGTGGCTGCCGACAGAATCCACGGGCAGAGAGACAGTGGCGGTGACACAAGAAAGGAGTTTATTTCAGGGAGGCCGTTCCCAGGAAGCCAGGGGACTGTTGTCCAGAAGACCCTCCCAAGTGCAGAAAACACTTCCAGGTTTATATAAGGACCATGTGGGACAGAGGTCAGTGGGTGCATGCAGGTGGGCAGTGAAGGTCAGGTCGGTCACCGTCATGGGTGTCCTGCTGGCTCAGAGCTGTCCTTATAGCTTGAGGGGAATTTCGGTTCCCACTGGGGACCCTGCTCTCAGGGTCTTTTGCTGGAGTTCAGAGAGAAGTGGGAAGGAAGAGCTTGATCCATGAGGAAGTCCAGCCAGAGGTCAGAACAGAGCTGAGACCTGCTGCCCCGGCCGCTGCCTGGCGGGGCTGGGTGACCCCATCAGGCTGACGTGCAGACAGACACACTGCAGTCTCTCCACCTGTGCAGGCTCCTGCGTGGAGGCTCGGGGCTGTGTCACCGCGGGCCCGGGTGCTGCACAAGCCACCCGCAGGGGCCCCTTCCCAGGGAGCTGGTGCGTCAGTCTGGGAGACACGGGCATTCTCTGGGCTGCCCAGCCTCGCGAGCACGACCCTGCCCTTGCCCTTGTCCGCCTGGTTGTCACGGGGGTCCGGGAGAATCCATCTCGAGGGCCCACCTCTGGGGGAGCTGCATGAGCCCCCCATGTGGCAAGAAGGCCAAGGGAGGGCAGCCCGTGCGGAGCCCATGCAGGCCGCGCTCTGTTACATAGATGCGCCAACGACGTGATGTGACCTTGTCCCTGCTGTGGACTTTTTAGGTTATTTCCAATCTTTTGTCCTACACGTCATGTTAAAGTGAACGGCCTTGTACACAAGCTTTCAGCCCGCAGGGCAGGGTGTCGCTTTGTTGGAAAGCAGAAGCATTTCTGCTTCGTCTTCGGGAAGACGTTGTCCAGCTGGGCTCTGGCAGGTCCACAGCCACCCCATTGGGAGGTGGGCCTTCCCCACTTCACTTCCTCTTCCTCACCTTCAATTCTCTGCCCCTTTGTACGTGGAGTTTACTATCTGTGTCTTACTGATTTGTATTAGCTCATCATTTATGATGGAAATTAGGCCTTTTCTGAGACATGAATTACAGATCTCGCGCATCCCCCCACCCACCCCCCAGGTTCTCATTTGATGTTTTTTTTTTTTAAGATTTTATTTATTTATTTGACAGAGAGACACAGCGAGAGAGGGAACACAAGCAGGGGGAGTGGGAGAGGGAGAAGCAGGCCTCCCGCCGAGCAGGGAGCCCAATGTGGGGCTCGATCCCAGGACCCGGGGATCTTGACCTGAGCCGAAGGCAGACGCTTAATGACTGAGCCACCCAGGTGCCCCATCTTCTGTCCATGTCTTGACTGGATCATTTGTTCTTTGGGTGTTGAGTTTAATAAGTTCTTTATAGATTTTGGATACTAGCCCTTTATCTGATATGTCATTTGCAAATATCTTCTCCCATTCTGTCAGTTGTCTTTTGGTTTTTACTGTTTCCTTTGCTTTGCAAAAGCTTTTTATCTTGATGAAGTCCCAATAGTTCATTTTTGCCCTTGCTTCCCTTGCCTTTGGCGATGTTTCTAGGAAGAAGTTGCTGCGGCTGAGGTCAAAGAGGTTGCTGCCTGTGTTCTCCTTTAGGATTTTGATGGACTCCTGTCTCACATTTAGGTCTTTCAACTATTTTGAGTCTATTTTTGTGTGTGGTGTAAGGAAATGGTCCAGTTTCATTCTTCTGCATGTGGCTGTCCAATTTTCCCAACACGATTTGTTGAAGAGACTGTCTTTTTTCCATTGGACATTCTTTCCTGCTTTGTCGAAGATTAGTTGACCATAGAGTTGAGGGTCCATTTCTGGGTTTTCTATTCTGTTCCACTGATATGTCTGTTTTTGTGCCAGTACCATACTGTCTTGATGATGACCGCTTTGTAATAGAGCTGGAAGTCTGGAACTGTGATGCCGCCAGCTTTGCTTTTCTTTTTCAACATTCCTCTGGCTATGCAGGGTCTTTTCTGGTTCCATACGAATTTTAGGATTATTTTTTCCATTTCTTTGAAAAAAGTGGATGGTATTTTGATGGGCATTGCATTGAATGTGTAGATTGCTCTAGGTAGCATTGACATCTTCACAATATTTGTTCTTCCAATCCATGAGCATGGAACGTTTTTCCATTTCTTTGTGTCTTCCTCAATTTCTTTCATGAGTATTTTATAGTTTTCTGAGTACAGATCCTTTGCCTCTTTGGTTAGATTTATTCCTAGGTATCTTATGGTTTTGGGTTCCATTGTAAATGGGATCAACTCCTTAATTTCTCTTTCTTCTGTCTCATTGTTAGTGTATAGGAATGCCACTGAGTTCTGTGCATTGATTTTTATATCCTGCCTCTTTGCTGAATTCCTGGATGAGTTCCGGCAATTTTGGGGTGGAGTATTTTGGGTTTTTTACATAGAGTAATCATGTCATCTATGAAGAGTGAGAGTTTGACTTCTTCTTTGCTGATTCGGATGCCTTTTATTTCTTTTTGTTGTCTGATTGCTGAGGCTGGGATTTCTAATACTATGTTGAATAGCAGTGGTGATGGTGGACATCCCTGCCACGTTCCTGACCTTAGGGGGAAAGCTCTCAGTTTTTCCCCATTGAGGTTGATATTCCCTGTGGACTTTTCATAGATGGCTTTTATGATATTGAGGTATGTTCCTTCTATCCCGTGTGACTTTTGATCTCGGGGTCATGAGTTCAAGCCCCACATTGGGTGTAAACAAAATAAATAAATAAGTAAAGCAGAGCATGCTTTAAAAAAAAAAAAAGCCACAGTCATGCTTGAAGGCATCCATTCGTGGCAAGAAGGTGGAGAATTCTTTTTTTTTTTTTTAAGATTTTATTTATTTATTTGAGAGAGAGAGAATGAGAGACAAAGAGCATGAGAGGGAGGAGGGTCAGAGGGAGAAGCAGACTCCCTGCCGAGCAGGGAGCCCGATGCGGGACTCAATCCCGAGACTCCAGGATCATGACCTGAGCCGAAGGCAGTCGCTTAACCAACTGAGCCACCCAGGCGCCCGAAGGTGGAGAATTCTTAAAAGCCAAAGACCCCATGAAGGAGGAGCCCTGCCTGCAGACTGATCACCACCATCCCCTTTGACCCCAAGGCCTTTGTCAAACTGGGTGAACTTGCCATTGGGTGTCACAGCCTCAGGGTGTCCAGAAAGCAAGTGACAAAACTCAGGGCCCACCCATGGTGGGGGTGTGATGGGTGAGCCTGCCCAGAAAGCAGGGACTGGGAAGGGTCCCACCCGCCCACAGTGGGAAGGTGAGCCAGAAACAGCTCCGTGCCCCGCCTGCCCAGTGCCCCCACTGAGGACCGGGCCCTCGCACGGAGTGCTGGCAGGAGGGCCGTCCTTTATAACTTGTCACCATACACCGCTCTCATGTGGGTCAGTCCCAGTTACAACGTCCGTGTGGCCTGAGGACTTTAGTTCTCAGGGTTATGAGCCGGTGGGGCCCCCAAGGACTGGGCAGCAGTGGAGACAGACCGCTTTGTGGGGTCCACTTTGTCCCAGGCCATAAACATTCCCACAGATCAGATTCTAGCTGAGAATGGGATCCTGCACGCAGGGGGCAAGGCACCAGGCGTGAGGCCAGCAGAAGACAGACCCTCCATAAACCTGGAGGATACAAGGTATGAATAGCTGAGTTTCCTAGGTTCAAAGAAATAAGAGACTTGCAAGAAAACACGTCCAAGAAACAAAGAACTGTAAAGAAAGACCAAGCAAACTTAAGAACAAACAGAACTTCAAGAAAAGAAGAATATCATCATTCAAATTAACAGCTTTGTGGATGGACTTAACAGCAGATTAGTGATATAGGCCTTATATGTGAAGCGATTACCCAGAGAGACAAAGAGGTTGAAAGAGAAGCAGAAAGCAAGCAGGTCCGGAGCCATGGAGGATGACAGCAGGTGTGATTGATGCGTGGCTGCATGCTGGTCAGAGCCTCGGGCAAATGTGCCCTGTGAGGATCCGCTGAGGTATCCCACGGTCCTCGTTCTGCACCCCCAGAAGCCTCACAACCCCCATCTGAGTAACTACAAGGATGTGCAACACCTGGTGTGTCCTAACAGAACTCAGGAGCACCAGAGGCAATGGGGTGATGCAGAAGGCTGTCACCTGCAAAGAGGGGAGGCCTGATGGACGGCTGACTTCTCGTCAGCAACAACGGGGGATCTGTATGTGCTGTCAGCCCAGAACCCCACACCCAGGGACATGTCTTTGACCAACCAGGGCAAAACAAAGACTATACAGACAATAAGAACTTCGCAACTTTGCCACCACCTGTCCCTCATTTAAAAAAAAAATCCAAAGTAGGAGTTGGCAAACTTTTCTGTAAAGGGCCACAGACGATATGTAAATGCGGGGTGTGGCTGCCTGCCAATAAAACTTTATTTAGAAAAACAGGTGGTAGCAATGTTGTTTAAGCTGAGTACACAGGTGTTTGTTTTATTCTTTTTTTAATTTTTTTTTAAAGATTTTATTTATTTATTTGAGACAGAGAGAATGAGAGAGAACACATGAGAGGGGGGAGGGCCAGAGGGAGAAGCAGACTCCCTGCCGAGCAGGGAGCCCAATGCGAGACTCGATCCAGGGACTCCAGGATCATGACCTGAGCCGAAGGCAGTGGCTTAACCAACTGAGCCACCCAGGCACCTTTTTTTTTTTTAAGTAATCCCAACACCCAGCGTGGGGCTTGAACTCACGATCCGGAGATGAAGAGTTGCACGCTCCACCAACGGGGCCAGCCAGGCGCCCCACTGTTTGTTTTATTCTTTAAGTTATTTTATTTTTATTCTTTAAACTACACAGGTACATGTGCTTGATGAAATTTGGGAATCTTTGGTAATGGAAAGTCTTAAAGAGGAGAGTGGTC